AGTTGATGCTTGCATTGCAACATCTGGCACTAACTCTTGTTTAATTTTTTTTTAATACAAAGAGAAATGCAATGCCTAAACAGGCAGGACCTTCTCCCCTTACTTTGGAGACTGATTTAAAATAGCATCTCATTTCCCACCATTTCATTTTTCTCTTGTAATGAGTTAAGCTTAACAGATATCCAGAAAAGCAATGTGGAATAATGCTTTCAGGGTTGATATATATTTTTTCATTTTCTATGGCTTATCGACCCTCTGCAGGTTATTTAAAGCCAAATTTAAATTTTTGAGATAATGATTTATTGATACAAGTCTTACTAATTAACCCATAACTATGGGGAGAATAGGTGGATACATGCCTTTCCCAAGGGTATTTGTGTGTAAGTGAATCTAACAAATCCAACTGGAATTGGAACTCAGCTCTCTAATTAAACATTCCGAGCCATTATCCATTACACCACCTGCACTTCCAAGCACCTGGTATTCTCAAGTGGAAAGTTAATAAATTCAATTTCTGAAAAGGTGGTAAAGGCTACAGAACTATAAAAGGCCCATATTAAGCATGTAGAATAAGAAATTTAATAATTTTATTCAAATACATGGGATAAAACCTGATATACCCCTCTAAAAACAGCACCAGGTATTCTCAAGTGGTCACCCATCTAGGTACTGACTAGCTTTATGTTGCTTAATTTTGCGAACTAGTATTTCAACGGGATGTGGCCATAAGCTGTAGAGTTTATATATTGACATAGGTTAAAAGTTTTAATCCATTTTATTGAAGGTAGATGGATTCTTAAGAGTAGTTTGTTTTTAATACTTAAAAGCCCCATCACTTTTAAACAGAATCAAAATAAAAGACAAAATTATAGCACATACTGATTATATTTACTTGTACTTGAGGGGTTTGTTAAAGTTTTGTAACAGAGAATCAGATCAGCCTGATGAAAGTCTTTGAGTTGGTTGTATGTGGTACTGTAAGAACCAGTAATTGCGTCCTCTTCCACACTTGGCTCTTGAGAGACTTAGAGTAGATGGCATTGCTTATTTGCATATGAATAATTCTGGTCAGGTATTAACCAATAGTTAGCATGGGTCTGGGACTGGGTATGCTATATAGCACCAGTTTTCTCTCAGTTAAGACAGGTGCTCGCAACATGCAAAAAAAAAACAAAAACAAACAAGACAAATACAAGTTTAAAATCAGTTTGCTTTACTATATATATATATATATATATATATATATATATATATATATGAATATAAAAGTGAACATTGAAGTCAACACTCAGAGGTGACAGACTGTTTCATGCAAGATGGCCTGACAATTGCATCCAGCAGGAAACAGCCTCATCTTTGTCGCCATATTTATTTATTTAAAGTTTTGGCCGTTGTATGCTCCAGCCTTCTTCAGATGGTTAAAATGTCGAACTTAACCCTTTATTTTGCTCACTGGGGTAGACTGTTCTAGTTCCATGTTTAATGGATGCAGTTATCTCCTGTTAATTTTCCTCTGAAAGTTAACCACTGCCTTAGCTGGGTATTGAACTCACACTCTTTGGGTCCTGAGACTGGATCTAACTAACACCTTTATCCACTGTGCCATGTGTCCTTGGCACCAAAGATGAGTACAATAGTCTAAATAATGTAAATAATGTACATAATACCTCATCTCAGAAATATAGACAGATAATAAAACAGCCTGTCGCCTCTGAGTGTTGACTTCAATGTTCACTTTTATATTTATATTTACATACGCTCTATCTCTGATATTGAGCACTTTATCCCATATTTAAATTTTCCTCAGTGCAATTATAGTTTAGTAGTGGGATTCTTTTATACTATAGAACAATTTTGTGAAGAAAGGTATTTTGGGGTTTTCACATACACATGCTAAAATGCTAATGTCCTGGGATAACAATAACTTCTGGGGTACTAAATTACATCAAATAACCTCCTGAAACATTTTCATTTTTGTAGATGATAGAAAAGTCAGCTGAAACTCTGAAAAAATGAATCCAAAAATTTTTTATAAAGAGAAAAAGTTTGATTTTTTTTTTTTTTTTTTTTTTTTTTTAAAAAAAAAAAAAAACAGCAATAACAAAAATGTGGGTGTATAGCCACATAGTTAGAGTGTTAGTGTTCTAACCAGAAGACCTGGGTTTGAAGCATACCATGGATCATTGCATGAAGCTAGCAGAACCATCACATGAAAACTTATTCACTACAGAAATACAAAGCAAGTGGGATTATACAGGACCGGAGTTAGTGAGAGTGATATTCAAAGCTTTCTTGATAATGTCATCTCTGATGAAGATGATCCTAGCATGTGGCATTGAGTTGTGCCTGAAAATCATAAAGTGGGTTGAACCAAGCATTGTGAGTGAAATTGAGTTGATGAAAATGTTTGGAAGCCAATAATGGTTGTGATAGAAGATTAATAATGGAACTATATGATGCTGCTCCCACTGTTCAATTGGGACTTGTCTATACTGTTAAATGACATGATCATATGTGTACAAGTCAAGGAACACTTTTGATTAACATTTCAAGACACAATCACCGAGAAGAATGATAATAATGTAACAAGCAAGTGTGAATTTTTTTTTTTTCATTCAAAATCAATTGTTTGAGTCAAAAGAAAAAGGACTGTACAGGACTCTACAGTTTAAATTAGCTTTGATATATTTTATCGAGGAGGAGGGACCAGTATGAAGACAATCAACCCCCAAAGACCCGAATTGTAGAATAGGCAAATATCTACACAATCTCAATAGCCAAACCAGTGGAAGAGGATAGAGCCAGACAGGCTGATGTAACCAAGGTGTATTTTAACAGACCAAGCATCTGACAGCCTGATGCTACCAGACTTGTCAGATCTTGGCTGTCTCAGTCCCTTTTGAGCCACAAGGGTGGCACGTCTGGCTAAGTGTGTGGATTTCTCTGTTGTGCAGAGTTATCTACCAAAATCAAATCCATACAAATGACCTCAAGAAATTCTCTTTGACGTAACTTTCTTTCACCCTTCAGCAAATCCAGCGGCAATGGTCCAAGGAGCGGATGATGATACCAATTGCTCAGATGAGAGCAGGTGTCGACAATATTTTATGTCAATACCTGTGTGCATGCACCCACATAGATCACCCACACATGTTTGAGATATCTCCTTAAACTACTTTAGAAGTCTTCAGATAATAGCGCTTGTTGTTCAAAATATACCTGTAATAACATTATCTAAAAGTGAGAGGTCATTATCCGCATTCCACTTAGGGAATAGTAATATCATTTTTGATAACCCACTCTTATCTAGTTACAACTAGCATAGTGCCCATCAAAAATGGCAGGATTATTTATGGAGAGATCATCACTTCTACTGAAGATTAACATATCTATATACAATGTCCAGGACCATAGTGTTGCAATTCAGTGCTTGACCTTCGATCAGGGTGCGCTATATCTATGCCACTCTACCTAACTTATGAATTGCAAGTTAACTTCTGACATACATTAGAATTCCAGTCAAGTTCATTACATTCACTTACACACAAATATTCTTGGGAAAGGTATGAATCTATCTCTTCTTCCCCAAAACCATGGGTTAAATAGTAGTTGTATCTGGAAAATTCATTTGTTATTTTCAAAAAAATAACTAAGCAAAGTGCTCAATACACTAAGTAGAGCAAACTAAGTAAACCTAAAGAGCCAGACAAATCTACCTAGTTTGCTCTACTTAGCGTATTGAGCACTTTGCTTAGTTTACCCTGACGATCCGCATAGGTGAAACCTAGGTAGGTTTGTCTGGCTCTTTAGGTTTACTTATATGTATATATATATATATATATATATATATAATTTCTTCATTGTTTATGATATATATAAATGTTGAATCAACACTTCTGCAACTTGACACAGTAATTAGCTGAATTTTGATCTGAAATTGTGATTAATGTTGGGTTAAATGCATTGAATAAAAAAAGAGATTATGTTGAATGATAAAAGTTTTATCATTAGACTCTGATGTTTTTGGACCGGGTTCCAACTCTATTCTAAGACAGTTTTCTTACTGGAAATTTTTGAGATTATTGAGAAAGTTGAGGTACCTTCTTTTATGATTCATATTTTTGGCTTTTCCCATGTACTGCTTTGAGCAGGTTTCTTTAATTTTCCTATTGTTTTCTCGAATTCAGTTACACTAATTTTCAGAAACTGCCAGTTCACATTTACAACTGCTTTTGCTTGAATGGAACAACTTGCTGTAATAATTTTGTATACTTTTCTTTGTCCCAAACAAAAGCAAAAACAAAGTACACACATGAACAATTTATCAACAATGTTGTTCCAGGTGTGCTACAAAATTGTACATCTTGATCAAAATGAGAAAAATGCAGTAAAAAATTAAACAAACATTATCAGTTGAATGTAATAAAAATTTGTAAAAATAATTGCTGCCTAAATATACATATATTTAACTACAACCAGTAGATAATTTTTCATTACCGAAATCCTTCATCATTACTTTCTATGTAACCAGAAGTATGAAAGTTCAGGGTTTATTGGTTTCTAACATATTTCTCATATGAAAAGAACTATAAAAAAATGAAACAGACAACAGTAAATGCTGAATTTTATTTTTCATGATGAATATTTTAGTGCTAAGGTGGGGATCATATGAGCCATACATAAATGTTTTTTTTACTTAGAGAAATATAGAGATTGTATTATTTTTTTTTTTTTACAATAATGTTCACTCTGTACAAAGCCCAAGCGCCACTCAAGGCAGAGTGTTACATTTTTCTCCCAACTTCATCATTGCTCACATGTGTGGTCCACTGTATCCTCTGCAGTCTTCTGTAGAGCCACATTTCTGTTGCTTCAGGTCTCCTCTTCATCTTTGAGGAGATTGGCCAGCATTCACTGCCATACTGGAGGACAGGATATCACAAAGTAGTTTAATAGTCTTTTCTTTGTTTCTAGCAAATTTTTTCTACAATCACCAAAAGAATCAACCATTATCTCTCTCTCTCTCTCTCTTTCCCTCTCTCTCTCTCTCTGCTACCATAGGTGTCTCAGGATGGAGATGGGTGGAGATGGAAATATTGGGTGTAGGAGGTAGTCATTCATTAGTGGCAGCCTATAATTTGTCAACTTTTATTTAGCCTTAGGTCCAGATATCATCATCATCATCATCATCATAAAAGCTGATATAGGAAGAGCAAAAAATGTTGGGTAGGGCATGTCAAGGGAAGTAGGAGATGAATGAAAAGGAGACTGACAAGGAAAAGAAAGTAAAAGAAGGAAGACAGCAAAGTAGAGACTCTAATAGAATTGGGGGGTGGGAGGGGAATTGAAGGAAAAGAAAAGAAATATAGAAGGAAAGGGAAAGCATTAAAAAAGAGTGAAAAAAAAGAAGAGGAAAGAAGAAGTACAAGGAAACATTGTGAAAGAGAAGAAAAAAAAATAGAGAGAAAAAAAAAAAGCAAGAAACAAAAAAATGAATGGCAAAAAAAAAAATAAGATTGGAAATGAAAAGTTTGTCCAAAAAGAGAAAAAAAAAAAACCCAAGTTGAAACACCACTTCTTGTATGATCACTGAAGTTAAACAACATCAAAACTGGTCAGTAACTGCTTGGAAATGCCAAGTGCTGTAAGCTTGGATGTACAGATTGTGTAATGGATATTGGCTCTGAATTGTAAATCAGAGAGCCGAGTTCCAATTCCAGTCAGGTTTGTTATATTCACTTACACACAAATAGTAGGACTTACATCATGATCATCATCATCATCATCCTTCTTCTTCTTCTTGCTGTATCCCTTTGTTGTAGAGTAGTTTTCACAGTGGAAGCTTGTATTTCACTAAGTCGTCCTAAATTAGGTTCGACGTACAAAACGTTAGGAACTTGAAATAAGAGTTAATGACGCAGCAATCTAGTTGTGATGGTTGATACTTCAATGTCCGACATCGACTGACTCACTCAACACCACTGAGCCCAACTGGCGACCGCTACTACTACTTATGTGTGGGAGAGTCTATTAATAATAGAATAGGTATGTTCAGGTATGACACCCTTCAGGACATGGATGATTATGGCTCTCCAAAATTTCCTGTTCTTTGTCGCTCTTAATAACTTTTGTCTTTTTGCCCTCTCTTCCAAGCCCCACTCCACCACTACAAAAAATTCATACAATCTAAAAAATATTTTCTGGCTTTAAATAACCTGAAAAAGGTTGATAAACCATAAAAAAACAAACTTGAAGAATTTATTTTTTAATTCATTTTTTTTTAAATTTAAATCTTTCTTTAAATTTAAACATTTTGTTTTTCAATTTTAATTATTCTTTTTAAATTTAAATATTCTTTTTTCGATATAGGTTAGAATTTCAGAGGATGTGTATTGTGCTTGTTAAATAAATTAAATAAAAATTAAACAGCTTGAAATTGAAAGTTGTAATATTTCTAAGAGTGTTCAACTATTTGGTAATAGTCTTAAACCAAAAGAGTTCCTCAGCCAAATGTTTTTATAATCATCATTTAATGAAGATTTTAAGGCGATTTAAATTTAGAATTAAATCTATGACATTAAACTCCTCTGATTCTTATAGAAATAAAAAGCCTATATTATTATTAATTCCAAGATTTGATCATACAATATTTTTTAACCATTTCACTCGCAAGTAAGACAATAAAGCCACTAAGACCTGAGTGGTTATTGAATGTAAAAATATAAGAGAAAAAGAAAAACATTGTTAAGGAGAGAGAACAATAAAAGAACAGGAATTAAGAAGAGAGAAGATAATGATTGACATTGCATTTAAATTTTTGAAGTTCAAAGTTAACTGGGAAGAATAAAGTTGGAAGACAGTCCCACATGTAAGAAGTGTGATAGAAGAAACTGTTAGCATAGAACTTATGGTTACATCTAGACATTTCAACTGTAAAAGACTGAGACTAAAGATAAGACCTTGCTGCCAATCTAGTACTGCACTTAAATTCATAAAGTCTACATTCCATAGAGGAAATCAATATCTATTTTTGTAAAATAAAAAAATGTGGCACAAGGCCAAAAGGGTAGATAGTGGAAGGCTGTTCTTCATCTGTCTTATAATTAAACTTAGCTAGCCACAATTGTACATACCAAATATAACACAGTATTCCTTACACCAAAGCAACACATTCTTACATACCATTCTTACTACAGCCTCCATAATACCTCAGAGTTTCTATGTAATCCTAACTAGTCTCTATATGTACCAAAGAAAAAATCTCATCAGAACAATTACCATGAAAATATTGATAGAAAAGGCATAGGAAAGCTTCATTATGGCAGTCTGAAGGTGAGATGCCAGATCAGGACCAATAACATTGCAGATTCTTCTTTGGATTTTATCAAGTATCTCTAAATATATAGCTGGAACACCAGACCAATATTCAAAGCAAGAACGAATGGTAGACTTATAAATACTGGACTCATTCTCTGTGCTGCTGATGCTGTTACCACAATGTCCAAGTCAATTCATAAGTCAATGTATGCATAAATATATGTGCCAAAATATATACATGTATGTAATTGCATGTATGTGTGTTTACTAGACTTAGTTTGACACAAGTGTAGGGTACCTATTTTGAAGTTGAATATATATATTACGTTTTTTAGTGAATATCAATGTTTGAGTAGAATGCCTCTTTCTTTCTTTTTTTTTTTAAACAGTGTTTATTTCAGAGGTAGTCCCTGCTTGTTTTATAATATAGCTGGCCACTTGTATCCAATTATGTCTGTCTGCTAGAGCAGCTAGCCAATCCCCATTGCACAAGCCTGCTCAGGCACATCTGTGTTTGCTCAACACCCACAGAACACATCTGCAGTTTATACTGCAACTATACTGAGCTGTTGTTAGTTACAGTTTCTAGGAGGGAACACACATGAACAGTTTGAACAAGGCCAATACAGCAACAACATTCAGTAACCCTCTTCCTGGAGTGGTTTTGGGCCCTGTATTGGAAAATTAGTTAAAAAGAAAAAAAAAAAATATTTGTCTACCAGCCTGCACTTTCAAGAAAACTTAAGGAAATGTGCCCTTCTACAGGATTCGAACCTGCATCTCCCTTTGTAGGAGAAACCACTGTCTGGTTTGGTGTGCTTTACACCACTCGGCTACAGAGAGCCTTACAGCCAACAAAGCTTCTCTTTGCATTTAACCACATCTTTTCATCCAGATTTTTCTCGAAAACCATATCCACTCATTTTTGTATCTGAAAAGTAAACAAAGCAATTCATAAATAATGTGTTTTATTTTTAATTAAAATATATTGATGTAATGGAATAACCTGTCACCCCATGAGTGACTACACCATAGTTAGTAACTACCTATAAGTATATTTAAGTCAATGGACTACAGAGACTAGCTGGGATCTGTTCCAGCTAAACAGTCGAACTCTCTGCCCTTTGGCAGAGCCTCGTCCGGAGAGGTAGACTGACTCAGAACCCGTTTATGTGGGTTCAAAAAGGGAATATTTTTGGCCAAGCCTATAGGCTCGGACAACCCACGTTAAACCAGAATTGTGCCGCATGCAACCTACATGGGGGCGGTAGCTAAATATACTAGCTGGAATCTGTTGAGTATGACTCAGACTTACGCAAGAACTACCAACTTTTCAATAGTAGCCCTCACTACTGGATTGACTTGTGACAATCTTTTGCATAACTGTTACCTTTATTCTTATTGTATTGATTTTTACAATAAACCATTATTTATTTTATCCACCTTTGTTTTCATGTATATATTCCTATTAGCATGGAATATAACATATATATATATATATATATATATATATATATATATATATATATTTTTTACAAAAATAACATTTATCATTATTTCCTGCAAATATTAGTAATCATTTCATTGTTGATATTCTTTTCAGTTTTTGTAACAAAAATAAAATAAAATTGGATCATTATTATTGGGATAAGCACAAGCAAAAACCCTTCACACTTATTAATAAATCACAAACTTAACATGGAAATTGTTTTATTTATGTTAGACCATTGTATTGGTATTGCTCTAACAAAATATTGCTATGATGTGCCATTTGTGCTGTGTTACAGTAACACACCATGCTATGTTCACAGAGTTAAATCACCCTCATTTCCTCCATATTCCAACTGTAAGAAAAAATAAAGGTCCACTCAGACAGATTTTTCCCTAAAGCTGCTTTATGGAACAGACTCTCACATGAATGTTTCCCTGAACACTATGATCATGGCAGAGTAATGGATAGTAGCTCAGATTGAAGAATTGGAGAGCCGAGTTCAAATTCCAGTCAGATCCATTACATTCATTTACATGCTAATACTCTTGGGAAAGGTATGAATCCTCTTCTTTTCCTCCCAGCTATGGATAAATAGCAGAACAGACTGGTTGTCACCCAAAGCTAAAGAACCCAGTCTAGGAGAAAGTAACTCTGAATTCAAACTGTATGTAGCCCTGGTGTAGCACATACTATACAGCTAAAGGAAAGTTTTTTTCACATTGGCTCGATGATCCTGACTGCAGTCAAAAAATGATGATGATGATGATGATGATCTTAACCTCCCTCAAGTCATGAGTCAATCATTATCTATCTTCCTTGTCTTTAAAAATTTTTATTTCCTACCACCTCCTCTTACACATTCATATCACACACTTCACTTCTACATTGAGTGGCTCTCGTGACTTACATTGGGTGAAACATTCTATATGAAAAAACACACCCATGACCAGAAATCAGATCAGTATAATATGGATGAGGTGAAGCAATGGAATAATCTGAAGATTCTGGCAATTACTGTAAAGATAGTTCCTCCCCAACCACCACCACCCTTACATTCCATTTATTTTCCTACTTCCATTTCTTTTGATTGTTATACTTTGTCAATTATCACAAACAGTCTAACAATTTTCCCCTTTCACTCACTATTATTTTGGTCTTTCTCTCTATTGATAGCCATTTTGTTTTGTCCATAGAACATTAATTAGTTTCAAGTTTAAACCTCTTCCTTCTCTCTACACCATAATGCCTCAATCCTCTTAACCAGTATAACTTCTTTCCTTAAGTGTGCCTGCACACACACACACACACCCATGTGCACACATACAGTGTGTGCTGTATGTCTGTAAGTTGATATGTGTATCAGTTAAGGCAGTGTAGCTGAATCTAGGAGCAGTAGTGGCAATAGATAGATAGATAGATAAATAGGACTAGAGTATGTAAGATAAAAAGACATGAAGACACTAATAGATAGATATGAACAGCTTTAGATAGATTTTTTTTAATCATACCCCCGTCCAAGCAAGGCATTAAAGCCTCTAAGATGCAAGGGGTTACTAAGTGTTAGAAAATATGAGAAAAAGATCATTATTAAGGAACAAGAACAGTAAAAGAACAAAAATTAAGACAGTAGATAATGATTGACATTGCATTTAAATTTTTGAAGGTCAAAGTTGACTGGGGAAACAAGAATCTGGAATAGAGTTCTACAATCAAGAAGTGCGATAGAAGAAACTGTTAGCATAGAACTTACAGTTACATCTAGCCATTGTAAACTGTAAAATGATAAGATCTTGCCACCAGTCTAGTACTGTGCTTAAATTCATAAAGTCTAGGTACCAAAGAGGAAAGATCATCACAACAATTACTATGAAAATATTTATAAAAAGGCACAGAAAAGCCATGTTATAACAGTGGGAAAGGTGGCCAGGTCAGGACCAATAACATTGCAGATCTTCTTTAGATTTTATCAAGAATCTATAAATCTATAGCAGAAGCATCAGAAAAGCAGGAATATTCTATACAAGAACACATGGTAAATATGTCAGATTCTGCCGGGAAAAATTGTCAAGCACGACAGAGTGAACCAACTTTCCTAGCTGCAAACTTAGTAATTAGTGATTCAGTATATTCTTTCCACTTGATGTCAGCAGAAAATATTAGTCCATGAAGGTACAGTGATACACTCTCCTGGAGGTTAACATTAGCCATGCTGATGAAATGTAAAAAGGATTCTCTTAGGTGATTAAAAGAGAATAGTTTCATTTTTAAGATGTTAAAATTAAGAAGCCATTCCTTGCTTCAGTTAACGACAGATTGTAAGTCAGTTTTGAGATCAGCTGCCAATTTGACCTTTTGAACCAATCAGAATTACTCTTAAGACAGGAGTAAATCATTGTGTCATCAGCATAGTATTTAGCCTTTTACTTGCACCCGAGATATGGAAATTTTATGGAAAATCTAAAAGGTAGCCTTGAACTCAAACAACCTGGTTAGAATTAAATTTTAACCCTTATAAACACAGCATTCATGATTGTGTCTGACAAATATATCAATGTAAATGACCTATTTACATTCTTTACTCTCAAAACCTAATGTCCTCACCTTTGTCGTTCTCATAATGTTTTAGACATTGTATATTCTGGCCTTCTTCAGAATGTCTATCAATCCAGGTTACCTTGAAGGAATTTCAAACTGAACCATTTATTCAATCTATGGGAGTAGATTGTTCTCACTCTATTGTCCATGTCTGGGGAAATCCAGTTTTGTTCTTTTTTAGTCCTGATCAATTTAGTCCTCTTCCTGTTTCTACTGAATTTAAATCTGTACTACCTGGCCAAGGGATTGAACTCACAATTACTATAACACCAAATTCATTAAATACTGACAAGTCTGTTACTATTACAAAGACAGACATTGCTTGTAAGCAACGAGGCAGTTCGTCGCAATCTCAAACCATACCCGAGGACACTGTGAAGTGTTGCTAAAACAGGCAAGAGTTCTATTTTTTTCTCCTTTCACATCAAGTTTCAGGTACAATGCTTCTGAGTTGCCTAGCTGTCCGAGTTTTCCCCTCCTTCAATCCATCGGCATAAAAAATTTGACATTTTATAAAATGACAATTAAAATGATAATGATTTGATTTCTATATGTTTGCATATTTTTTTTGGCTACAGTAAACAGCACATCATAATAGAATTTTTGTTGGTGCAATACTTTTAAATACTTTTAAAATGCTCTAACTTGTAGAATAAAGTAACTCTCAGTTTAATAAGGCAACCAGTTTCAAAGTAAAAAAAAAAAAAGTCTAAGGGAGATAACTCCAGGTCTATTAACTGTTAATTACAGGTTCGTTTCCCCTGACTCCTCTTCCGCAGCCATAATTACATACACATGATGATACTTCAATAATAATAATTAAACATAGTTATAATTTACAAATAATTAAATATTCCATAAATATGAAATTATTTGATATCAAGCAGAGACTTTTGAGGCAGCATTTAAATGAGTATTGTCACTGATAGTATTAATGATATTAAAAAATATTATTAAAAATAATATTTTTATAATGTAAGAATATTATTAAAATTACAATAAAATAATATCATTAATAATAGTAATAATATAAAGTTAGAATATTATTATTAAGTATTATTATTATAAATTATAATAATGTCACTCAGTGAACAATTATATAACTCAGTAATAATTTTTTTTATTTAATAATTTTGCTATTGCATAGATGTATCAAAAGTAAGTGTTTACTAAACTTAGCTTTGCTTAATATATGGTCATAATAATAAAGTACTTTATATATTTTACTGTATTTTTTATTTTAAGCTTTTATGTTAAATATCTACTTTTTCTGTAAAATCTCATTCCTCTGATCAGGATATTGGAGGTTTTGAGGAGCATGGAACCATCTTTTAATTGCTGTTGTTCTCAGGTCCAACCTGACCTGGTGTGGTAGAATCTGTTTAGATCCCATCTTTGGTAGAAAGTGGCATTCACGGGATATATAATGAGAAAAGAATTAACTCTCGGCAGATAAGCTTGTATTGTAGCCACTAATCTTCAACAATAATTTTTTTCCCTTCTTATATAAGGGTCCCAAACACATTTTAAGGTTTGCAGATATTGGATGTTTTTAATGATAATCTCTTTAGCAAATTTACATGTGCAGTAAGGTTTCAAACAGTATAGAAGACTCCACATCCATAAAATGTGTAGGCTACTTTTGTATATGAACATTTTGCATATAAACCAATTCCAAAGACAACTGAAAGCACTTAGCCTGTAGAATTTCTCAGTCATTTGAATCAAAATTAATTGATAGACATACAAAATTATTTTAAAAAATAACTACCATTAAAGAATTAATTTAACATAAGCTTTTGTGTATATAATTTTGCTTTTCTTTATTGGTGGATGTGGGGTCGGAACAGGCAATGCAATTTCTTGGGTAGGGGTAACATTGAATAACACATCAAATTAAAAAAAAAGAAAAACTTATTCAAGTCTGAAAGCCACCCAGAGATTTAACCAATCAGTTAATGTCGTATAATTGATAGGGACTCAGATGTTTCTTGTTAAAAAGTTGAATAATTTTAACACATGCAACATTATGAATAAAAAAAAATAGTGAATTTTATATCGTGTTTTTTCAAGACTTAGCATGAGCAAAACAAATTCACAGATTTCGACAAAAAAAACAACCCCAGAATGATGTCAAAATCCGCAAACATTTTTCGTCCTTCTATATTCAGTTGCACTTAGTTTAATTTGCAATGTATATGAATATAGGTAGAAAAAAAAAAAAGAAATGTTGATAAGATAGTGAGGGTCACAAAGCATGTGGCGTTCAGGGGAAGGGGGCGGTTAGTACGTACTCGCTCTGTATGATGTCCCTACATCTCTGATGGATTATGGGTTTCCTGCCATAACATGGTGTTACCACAATGTTTCAGATAATCCATTCTATAAAATTTCTTCAGCTGAACAATCTATATGGTAAAAAGGGGAAAATCCATTTTTCTCCAATCAAATAAACCAGAGAATAATGGCCAACAAAAACAACTTCATCAATTGTCCAAATTACCTTTGGATTGCTAATAACTCATTTAAAAATTACAAAAGGTTATCTTCAATCTATTATAAGAAATAAACAAAAACAAATTGTTCTCTTTTAAGCATGTACATGTGGGAGGAAAGAGGTCAGGCTTACATTTCAAGCAAAGTGATACTTTGTACACGCAGAAGAGAGAGATAAAATGTTATTCTATTTATCTATCACTCTATCTTTTCTCTATTTATCTATCTTTTCTCTATTTATCTATCACTCTATCTTTTCTCTATTTATCTATCACTCTATCTTTTCTCTATTTATCTATCACTCTATCTTTTCTCTATTTATCTATCACTCTATCTTTTCTCTATTTATCTATCACTCTATCTTTCCATTTATCTATCAATCTTTTCTCTATTTATCTATCATTCTTTTCTCTATTTATCTATCAAGAAATTCTTCAAAAATCAATCTTTTCTGATTTATCTATCACTCATCTTTTCTCTATTTATCTATCACTCTATCTTTTCTCTATTTATCTATCACTTATCTTTTCTCTATTTATCTATCACTCCCCTCTATTTATCTATCTTATCTATCATTCTCTATCTTTTCTTTTATCTATCTGCAGAATTTTGTTTCTTTATCATCACTTATCCATTTGAAAGAGTGTTGAAAGATTCTTGGCACAACCAAGAAACCCTTCAAAAATAATTCTGATTTTGGTCACTTGGAAGTGGGGGCAGCAGGGCTAAGAACTTTTCAGCACCCTCCTCCCCAGTAACTGCTAATGTTTATATCTGCAGAATTCTGTTTCTATATCACTTATTCTGTTCAGCAGACTAAAAGAGTTGAGCTATTTTACTCTGTTCATTATTATCTATCTAGTCTGTTCATATCTCTCTCTCTCTATCTCAGTCTGTTCATATCTCTCTCTCTCTCTATCTCAGTCTATTCATATCTCTCTCTCTCTATCTCAGTCTATCTCAGTCTCTCTCTCTCTATCTCAGTCTGTTCAGTCAGTCTGTTCATCTCTCTCTCTCTCTATCTCAGTCTGTTCATATCTCTCTCTATCTCAGTCTGTTCATATCTCTCTCTATCTCAGTCTGTTCATATCTCTCTCTCTCTCTCAGTCTGTTCATCCACTCTCTCTCTATCTCAGTCTGTTCTCTCTCTCTCTCTATCTCAGTCTGTTCATATCTCTCTCTCTCTATCTCAGTCTGTTCATATCTCTCTCTCTCTCTATCTCAGTCTGTTCATATCTCTCTCTCTCTATCTCAGTCTGTTCATATCTCTCTCTCTCTATCTCAGTCTGTTCATATCTCTCTCTCTATCTCAGTCTGTTCATATCTCTCTCTCTATCTCAGTCTGTTCATATCACTCTCTCTATCTCAGTCTGTTCATATTTCTCTCTCTCTCTCTATTTCAGTCTGTTCATATTTCTCTCTCTCTCTATTTCAGTCTGTTCATATTTCTCTCTCTCTCTATCTCAGTCTGTTCATATTTCTCTCTCTCTCTCTGTCTGTTCATATTTCTCTCTCTCTCTCTGTCTGTTCATATTTCTCTCTCTTTCTCTCTCTGTTCATATTTCTCTCTCTCTCTCTCTCTGTTCATATTTCTCTCTCTCTCTGTTCATATTTCTCTCTCTCTCTCTCTGTTCATATTTCTCTCTCTCTCTCTCAGTCTGTTCATATTTCTCTCTCTCTCTCTCTCTGTTCATATTTCTCTCTCTCTCTCAGTCTGTTCATATTTCTCTCTCTCTCTCAGTCTGTTCATATTTCTCTCTCTCTCTCTATTTCAGTCTGTTCATATTTCTCTCTCTCTCTCAGTCTGTTCATATTTCTCTCTCTCTCTCTCAGTCTGTTCATATTTCTCTCTCTCTCTCTCAGTCTGTTCATATTTCTCTCTCTCTCTCTCTCAGTCTGTTCATATTTCTCTCTCTCTCTCTCTCAGTCTGTTCATATTTCTCTCTCTCTCTCAGTCTGTTCATATTTCTCTCTCTCTCTCAGTCTGTTCATATTTTTCTCTCTCTCTCTCAGTCTGTTCATATTTTTCTCTCTCTCTCTCTTTCTCTGTTCTGTTTTCTCTTCTCTCTCTCTCTCAGTCTGTTCATATTTCTCTCTCTCTCTCTCTCAGTCTGTTCATATTTCTCTCTCTCTCTCTCTCAGTCTGTTCATATTTCTCTCTCTCTCTCTCAGTCTGTTCATATTTCTCTCTCTCTCTCTCTCAGTCTGTTCATATCCATCTATCTTTGTCTACTCATATCTAGATAGCTAGTTATCTGAGTCTGTCCGTATCTATCTATTTGAGTTTGCTTATCTAAGTTTGCTGATATCTATCTAGCTATCTAACGAAAGCATTTGTGGAAATAAAGCTGTACAGGGAATTGATAAACATTGTTGGAAAAAATTTAAAAGAAGTTTGTGTATGAAAGGAAGAAAAGGGATTGTTAAGGTGTAAGATGTTTACAAAAGTAATGCATAAAAGAGATAACTAATTGCCTCTTTTGTATGTCCGTCTTCAGCTATGCTTTATCTAGTAATACTGTTTAATAAACCTTTATAGTCAATTTTCATTTTATCTTTTAACATCTCAATTGAAGCCCGTCCCACTTTTTATCTATATAAGACCCCACCTCCATTTTCATTTACACAACTCCTCCCTCTTTTCATATTTGAATTGTACAGAAAATCATAGTAAAAAAATGCTTTCTGATAGGCTTTTCAAATGGTATAATTAAACCTTGCTTGTATACATCTATTCTTTCTCCCCTTCCACCACAACCCACCAGTTTGAATAAAAGGTATGGGGAGGGTCCCACCTGCTTTCCTGTTTCTCTTGTTGCTTTTTTTTTTTTAGCACAGCCCACTACTGCTTAGCATTCCCCAAATAAATATCATTGTTTAAAATGTAGTTATAACAGGTTCTCCGTTTTAAAAAGACATCAGTAGAAAATTTACAATCAGTTTATAAACTGTGCGTGCTTCCTGGATTAAGTCAGTTCAGTTTTTTTCAGCTCACATTTGATAGGCCCTTACAAGATCCGGCAGCTGAGGCTTGATTTGTGGAACATATTTTTGTTTTTATCTCTCATTGTATCTCTTATATAAGTGGCTCTTGTCTTCAAAACCGTTTTCGTTCTTGCTGTTTGTTGACAACAAACTCATTTTACCATTTTTAACAGCATTTGAATTCTACAAGTGCCAGACATTGATAAAAAAAAAGAAATGTAATATCTGTTTGTTTTTCCAATGAACAAACAAATTTTATTGCAATAACACAGTCAACAATAATAACTTTATTTTTCTTGCATTCTATCAATCAATTCCATCCAAAAGTAACATACCAGGCATCTTTTCAAGATGCTATTGCTACCCAATAAGAAAAAAAAACAAGGTCATGGCCTTTTATATTAACTCACGAACTTCTTGATCAAAAAAAAAATATCGACGGAATATTTGGAAACTAGGAAGAAGGATTTTTCTTCAGTAAGAAAAAAAGTTTAATCTTACATTTACAAGGATAACAATGATAACATCATTTTCTTTTATGAACAACTAAAAACTTATTTAAAAAAAAAAACGCCATTTCTTGACTCCCTGGAGTATTATATAATGATTTAAAAACGGAAAGGAAAGTGACCATTGTCTTTATATATTTTGGATTACTTTTTAAAAATTTATTTATTCATTAAATGCTTTTCTCCATCTTTTCGTCGCTGCATTTTAAATGCCCATTTGCAGCTCTTAAAGAGTCTTCAAAAGTTGTCGGCCTTGTAAAGATAGACCACCACTGTGTAGTGGACTTCATACATTTTTGATTGCCCATTAAAAGTTGTTATGATGGTCAACCATAGTGCCCATGACTACGGCTATACATACTATTACAACCATCAAGGTTGCAACCAGAACTGGCCCTACCCCCGAGATACCAACCAATATGCATGCTACCCTAGTTGTCAGTATGCTTCATGGACAACTGAGCCTTTTGTACGTTTGCCTTTTTTCTTTCTTTCACTTGCGTTGATTTTTGTTTTTTTTGGTTTTGTTTTGTTTTTTAGATGTTTGGTTCAATGTTTGTTTTTGGGGGGTTTTTTTTTTTTTTTTTTTAATTGATGCAAACTTTCCCAAACAGCTAAATTTAGAAAATTAAATATCTCATGTGGCATTTTACGACAGGCATGGGTGTGTATATTGATGAAGTAATTGAAGTCTTATTCTAAGAAATTCCTTTTTCATTTTTATCCAAATAGAAATTCATGAGACAGTTCCTCAGTCTGTTTTTATTGTTATTCTGTCTTTTAGCAATTATCTACCTTTTTATGGCATATGCCAAAGAAAGCTTATTTATATGAAACACCTGTATCGTTGCATGTGCCCGCTACCACGTGGAGAAGAGAAAAATTTTCTGGTGAACGAAACCAAAATTATTCATTGAATTGAATGTCAACATTATTTTGTTCATATCTGCAAAATTTTTTTTTAAATATATTTGTTTTCTTCACTAAATTCGTCCCATTGATTCAGTCCAAACTCCAACCTACCAAAGCCTTTGTACTTCTATCAGCATCTAATCTTGAAACAGAAAATATGTTTTATTATTTATTTTTTCTTTTCCTTAGACACGCCACTGTTTTAAAAACTGAAATCATGAGTACACTTCATTTATTTTGTATGTATTCTAGTTTAGATTTAATTATTTGTGTGTGTGTGCAAACTCTGAGAAAATATATCACGTGTTTACTAAAAAACAGTAAAACAAGCATTAACTTTTGGTTTTCTTTTTTCATTACAATTTTCAGTCTTTCTTTCATCAACCATAGAATCTCTCTAAATCCATTTCAGAGAGGTTGTGTCAAAGAAACAGAAACTAGTTTCATTCGTCAATAATAACAACCAAAATAATCTTCTTCCATAAAACCGAAAAAATGTGTTTGTTTTTTGTTTGTTCTTGTTTGGACTTTTTCATCTCTTCTCTGCATTTTGTTTTAGAATTAAATATTTTTCAATGAGTGATGATGTCATTAATTTACTTACTTAAACTAGTGAACATTATCAATATAAAAAGAGTATTCTGGCACTTAAAAAAAAAATCATTGTCATGGTACAAGTCAAATACCGTGGTCCGTTTGAAAATAATGTCACGAAGACATGCAAAGTTTTTTTTACTAGTTAAAGTTACTCGTAATATAAACGAACAAAAACGTTAAGTTATTAATAACCAATTATTTTATGAAACATAAGTTTTGCTTTTGAATGTTACAAAGATTGAAACAATTATTTTATTAAGTAAATGCGATATACATTCAGAGAACTAGTAGTCTAGCAATACCTTCTTGAATTTGTTGCCAGACGACGAGTTTGTGATGAGTTCTTCGCATGTTCCATGACGTCATATAACTTTCAGAATGGACCACAGTATATTTTGTTTTTGTACTAGTGACGAGGAGAAAACTTTTTCTTGTTTGTGAATCCAGAGATGAAATATTTGTTTATATTTTGTTTTAAAAATTATGACGTTGTAATTTTTTTATTTTGTTGTCTTCCTTTTTTTTTTCTTTGAAGACATTTTGTTTAGTTTACTGTTCAGTTTTAGTTAGATTCATTTTTTTTTTTCAAGTCTACCCACCTCCGTCAGTAAACATCGAAATAACGCAATCTGAATGAATTTTTTTAAATTAAACCTTTTAAAAATAAGACGTCAATTCAAAAAAAAAAAGTGAAGTTTAATTTAATTTCTCAACACGCAAAAAATGCGCGAAAATGATATCCTAATTTACATTTTTTTTTTTTAAACTTGCCTTATCGATGTGGGCCGGGAATTAAATTCATATTTAGTACCAAAAGATTTAAATTTTATCTTAAACCGTACTACACAACTGTAGAATTCAATTTGAATAAATTATTTACATTTTTTTTAAAGAAGATTTTCGTAATTCATTCCAATGTGATTGTTTTAAAATTCAAATTCTTCTCTAAATATCTAATGAACGAGTCTTTTTAAAAAATAAGTCAATAGTTGAACTAATTACGAAGTTACCGATTTCCAAACAAATTTTGAATTAAAAACAAAACGGCAGCATTCCAACGATCGAAAAATGAACTGACTATGGCTTTATTTTTAAAAAAAAATGTTTGATAAAGAAAATTCGTTAAAAAACAAAAATGTAACTAACAATAAAAGACGTTTTCCCTTTTTGTTATTTTTTTTTTTTTCTGAAAATTCGTTCATCCCTCCCCCACCAACAAAGTGAATTTGCATTGCGAAGGAATTCTGTCCAAGTTTTCAATACCATGAAATGAAAATCAACGACCTCAATGGAAATTATTCCAGATGCACAAATTGGAGTGAAAATTGTAATTAAAATCCTTTTTCCTCTAAAAAGGCCTACAACTTTATTCCGCGTCAACAGGTAAATGTGCATTTGGGCCTTTTGAAACTAACTACTACCCAATTATTGTGAGTCGTAGTGTTTTTTTATCCCCTTTTTTTCTTTCTTTTTTTTTTAAAAAAACTCTCCAGAAAAGCTTAAATAATGTTACGTTTCTAATACATACAAACAAGCGTGCATGTGTTCTGCCGACAAAACTAGTCTTTAATTGCTATCAAAGATCGTTTTTTATCAGAATTTACATAACGAAAAGCATGTGTTTGTTTTAATTTACAGAAACATTTTTTTTACGCGTGAAAATAAATTATTAAAAATAGAAAAAAAAAAACTTCAATGTTATTTTAATCAGAAAACTTTTGAAAATAGGAAACTTGATCATTTTTTTAAGTTTTAATTAATAGCTTCTTTTTTTTTTTTTAATGAATCTGACAGCGTTAAAAACTCAATCACTTTTTTTGTTGACTTTTTATTTTGTCTTTGTCGCATGGAGAAGTGTTCTTTAATCCACCTGGTTTGATTGTAATTTATTAATTTATGCAATTATTACAACTTTGCATCTATTTTCCTATCAATTTGTTCAATAAATTTGCTTTTATAGTTTATTTCTCTCAATAGAAATTAACAACCTGTTGTTTGAACAAAAAATAATAGTGAACATGTTATTTTCATTCATTAGTAACTGGATACGACCCTTTCCTCTCCCCCCCCCAAAAGGACCGAGAATTAAAAAAATGATGCAAGTTTATGTAGTTAATCCTGAAATTTTCTTTATTTTTTCGTAAAAGTTTAAAATTACTTCATGGAAAACATTCTTCTTTCATGAAAATGACCATTTTTTTGTTGATAGTGAGTTTGGTTGATAGTGACATTTGAATTTTCCAGAGAAAATTGAATTTTTTAAAGTGGTCCTTAATAGTGAAGTGCTTCTAAAAGTTTGACATTATGTACGTTTGTAATTCGAATAACTACTTCAATTCCACTTTGTTTGCTTCCACTTCTAATCTTTCTGTTTCTTGAAAATGGACCTCTTCCCAAATAAGTGTCATTTTCATAAAGAGCAGAACAAACTACATCAGGCAAATACATTTTCATTGAAAAAGTATTAATTTTAGTTTTAACTGAATCTTTTTTTTTTTTTCTTTGTAATTCAAAAACTAGTTTTCTCTGTTTTAAAACTTCAAATGGAAACAAAATTATTGTTCTGTCAGTTAATGATGGCTTTTATTTCTGAATGTATTGTAGATGTATAATATTCCCAATATTGTAATGCATATGAAACTTCATCTATCTTTTAGTTTTATATACATGGAATTTTAAAATTCTGTATTGCCACATCATTTTTTTTATGAAATCAAAATAGTAGTACTTGATATTTTTTACAATAATTCTTAAATAATCTACCTTTTTTTGTCTTTTGAATCCGAAATTTCATGGGTGTATCGATTTTTTTTTTTCCAGTTGATACTAAGATTTTTGTTGCTAGTGTGCAACCCCCCCTCACCACCACCACCACCGCACACATTTCTTCCTCGCCCTTTGTGTTTTCTTTGTTCATTTCCCAACATTTTCAGAATATTCTTCAAAAATCACATTCCTCCCTCAAGAATTTAGCAGATACTATTATAAGTTTGAAAACTTTTGCTGATAGTATATGTCTTCGGATATGACAGATTTTACAAGCATTTAAAGTGCATGATGTGTGAAAGACTTGTACAAATCTTAAATTCAGTAGTTTAAGTTCAAAAGATCTTTCCTTTTATCATATTATACCAATCATCATAAGTCCCATAACTCATTAAGATCATAGGGGTACAATATGTACTGCAACCATGGCAGCAGCAGTGTGTCTAGGGCATTGTACCTTAATGGAGTCTATTCATTATCAGCCTGATTTTGAATTCAGTTGTCCCTCTGTTACACTAGTTAACACTCTGAAGTAAGAGAGCCTAGTCTGCCCTGCTATTTAACCCATAGCTGGAGGGAGAAAAGATGGATTTATTCTTCTGAAGAGTATTTGTACAAAAAATGAATGTGACTAACTCAGCTCACCAATTTCTCTTGCTGGATCATTAACCATTACAGCAATGATAGGCCCCATTATGCTTATCTGACAAGTAAGTAAAGAGTTTACAAGATATGTCCTGCAATCATTTCTTAAAGTTTACCTATTTATTTACAGATTTCAGTGATTGGAACTTGGATCTATTTTCACAAAGATATTGTTAATTCTATTGTTTGTTTTCCTTGGCCTTCTCTTAAATCATCAAGGTGCCATGTTGAGTGATTACTGTTCAAGGCATCTGTTGGGTACAGTTGGGTTACTCAGCCCTACCCAAATTATACTGTGTAACATGATACCAGTAGCAAAAAACAATTCTATGACCTGACCCCTTATTGAATACCCAAGCTGAATTGCCCTGTTATTTATCCATAGTTTGAGGGAGAAGTAGATTTATGCCTTTCCCAAGGGCGATAGTTCAAAGTGAACACAAACCATCCCAGCCAGAGTTTGAACTCTGTTTACCAGTTCCATTCTTTATGCAGTTAAGTGTTTAGCCATCAACACCTCCACAATCCTATTTGCTGCTAACATTGCACACACACGTATTGTCTCTGTCAGATGAAATTATTAAGGAGTCCAGAAAGTAATTACATGTTTTAACGCAATGAATTAGGAGCAAACCAACCAAGGCAGAACGAAGATTGAATTGTACAAAACTGTCTAGAATTAATCCATCAACTTTTCTATCCAACAGTGTGTCATTTTTAATGCATTTTGGACTCCTCATGAGCTTTTACTTGAGAACTGAATCCAACGTTCCACCATTTGTAGCAGTCTTTCAATCAGGAATGCAAAACTTTCATTTTTGCATCGCATTCTTACAGATGATGAAGAATGGATTTTGCATGTCAACAGAAAATGAAAACGAGATTGGTTATCACAAAAAGGAAAACTCAATTCCGACACCAAAACCACCAGGACTCCTTCCTCAGGAGTTCTTGCTTTGTGTCTGGTGGAATATTAAAGATGTCATCCATATGAGCTAATGTAACATGGAAGGACCATCACTACAGACGTTTATTGCTAGCAACTTGATTGATTAAATGACGTATTACATCAGAGGTTCCCAGTTCTCTCCTGATGCAATGTGAGGACAAAGTTCACAAAACAAATACAACAGGATAGAAAAGTCATTCCACATCCTCAATAGATTTTCATTTGTTTTAATTTATAAATGGAAAAACAGTCAAATAAAGTTTAAAATGGTCTTTAAGACTTTTTTTTTTTTTTTTTTTTTTCATATCCTTTCTGGTAAAATATAATTACTTTCAGAGCACCCTATAAATAACATCTAAAGTTTACTTTAAAATTATCCTTCAGAGACAAACCAATATTTCTCTTTCTCAGTGAATGGTTAGAAAGAATTAAGTCATATAATGTTTATCAAAAAACAGAATAAGCAGGCTGGGTTTGGGAAAAGGCTTCTTTACTGTTTTAATCAATTGATTAATGGAAAAGTGAGCAAGCACTCAGGCTGACCACTCTCATACTAACATTGCCTGACCAAATGATAGAACCTGAAAACTCTTACTCCCATAAAAAATTTTGATAATACAATCAAAATCAATTGGAACCTACTGTAATCAGCTGATATAACCTCTGAACACATAAATTGATAATTTTTGTTTCTCCTAAATTAACACAAATGAAATGCTTTATTTTTATTTTTTTATTTTATTTTTTTTTTTTTTTTGAGAGTGAATATATCGCATATAAAAATATTAATGATAAATTCCCCCATTTGAAACTGAAGATTCTTTTCATTTAATATAAGACTCAAAAGCCATTCTAAGTACATTATGATGAATGAAGAGAGTGATATGAATGAAAGAGGATTGATTTGGATTTTTTATGGCTTATCAACCTTTTGCAGGTTATTTAAAGGCAGAGAATATTTTTAGATTGTAAGAATTTTTGAGAAATAATAATCAAATGCTACTAATTAACCCATAGCTGGAGGGGGGAGAAGAGGCAGATTCCTTCCTTTCCCAAAGGTATTTGTGCATTGGCAAATATAACTAATCTGACTAGATTTCCAATTCCAAGCCATTATCAATTCTACCACATGCACATCTTAGCTTACAGCACCTGGTATTCCCAAGTGGTCACCCATATAGGTACTGACCAGGCTCATTGTTGCTTAACTTCAATTAATCATATGAAAACAGCCTGAGCAAGACACTGTAAATAGCTTTATCTACTTTTTTTAAGGATCTGTCCTAATAAAGACGAAGGAAAAATATCCAAAAATAACTGAAAAGGTTTAAATTCAGATTATAAATGGCTTTCGACTATTCCACTTTTGATTCCAAAAAAATAACACATTTTTCTCTTGTATTTTAATCATGCCAAAAACACCAGTTCTCATTCAATCACCAAAGTTAAGCAGCACTGATGTTAGTCAGTATTTAGATGAGGGACCATTTGGGAACACCAGGTATTGCAAGTAAACTATTACAATCTGGAAAAATGTTTTGGCTTTAAATATTCCACAAAGGGTTGATAAACCATAAAATAACACAGCTTGTAATTCCCCCGCTCCATGTAATTTGTGCCCACTGTTTTATATATATTTATTTTTTTGTTTTTTACAATAATGTTCACTTTGTACAAGGCCCAAAATCCACTCAAGGTAGAGGGTTACAGAGTAAGAGGCACAGTTTATATGAGAAGATAATTGTTAACTCTAAACTTGAACAGGTTAAGATTGTAGTGAGTGGGGAAGTATCCTCTTGGGAGTCAGTTCCACAGGGCAGTGATTCATGGGGGAAAATCTGCTCATGTGGAACTTACATCTCCCCAATGGAAGGGAATGAAGGTGGTTCTCTGCAATGTGCATAGTATGGCAGGTTTTAGTTATCAAGTTATATTTTATTATTAAAAATTCATAGCACTAAGAAATGTCATTGATATGAACACTCCCCATGGAAATAGTGATAATAGTGAGAAGTTTGAAACATTTTATTTGTGAGAAAGGACCCACAAGGACGTTAAGATGCTTTTGAAATGTGAAGGACTGGGTATCTCGTGCCCATATAACAGTGGCAGAACTCCATTTTGATCTGGCTCCTGTAAAGGTAGAGTATGGTAGAAATCAGGTACTTGCAAGATCAGTACAGGGAACTGACCCTTTTTTTTTTTTTTTTCCCATCTTTGGTTGTGTCCCAATAGGCACACAAGGCATGAAGCCTCTCTGAGAGAGAACACTCATCATGACACAGGCAAAAATTCAGGGTTCACTTGGTGATGATCACTATTTTGGTTTTCAAGTCATTGAATGTGACCAACCAGTTTTTAGAGCTCAGCCAGGGGAGAAATCAGCTCTCAGGCTTTGATCTTCTAGAGTTTTGGAGGTACACCCATATACCATTGTACTATCAGTATAGATAATCACAAATGATCAGAGTATACTGTTATCTCTATCTTTCGACAGATTTGCACCAAAATTTACATGCACATGCTCCAAGTTAGCAGGAAGGCCAAGGCCAACTTTGCATTTCACAACTCCCATCGATAGTGGAAATAATCAATTTTTTCATGCTTCTACGGCAGTTTTCATGTAGTTTGCGGCCATTTTCTACTGGCCAGAGTAAGAGCCTATAGCTGGCTGCCACAAATCGGCAGAAAGATTCTATTGGCGAGAGTGAGAGCCAACAGTTGACTGACATGAATGTCAACTAGCATGCTAGCATGCAAAAAAAATCGATAGCTGCATTCGTCACAAGTGGGAAAAATGTAAATCTGCATGGCACTTTACTCTAATTGGCTCATTCGCTTGCTTAAACTCAACGTTGATTCTGATTCCGCAGAACTGGAATGGGTGTGAAAAATATTTGTTAACATTCTTTTTTCATTCGGTTTTTCCAGTTACGAGTCCTTTTTTAAAGCTGATCGTTTTGTGTTCATTTTGTTTAGTTCTTTTTTCGTAACAGATTTAATGTTTAGTATAGAGATCAGAAAAAATTCGCAGTGTGAGCTAGGCAAGAAGTAAGGCATGTAGCAACATCAGCACGGCAAAGGGCACTCCTTTAAAGGCAAGGAAGGGCAAAAATATTTTAAGTCAAATGATAGCGATTGCATGGGCAACACCGGGCCATGCTGCTAGTAATGAGTAAACAAAAAAATGAAATGTTTTGAATCAAAATATTGGCTCCTGGGCTCCACTTCAAAATAACCAGTTTAAAATCAACCATTTTTTTTTTTCTTTTGAAGCCATAATGTCACCATCTCTAGTTGCTTCAACATTTCAAAGGAAACAATTGTTTGAAAGACAGAAATATGGTATTATAAGAAAGATTTGACAGATATAACAGTATATGATTTATCTCAATTACTTTAAATAGTAAAAAAAGTTAATTAAAAAAAAATTCATGTGAACTTTTGTTTTAAACAAAATGTTTTTCCATGTCTTTATTTATTTTTTTTTTACATTGTCATTCTGTTTTTAAAAACATCTTTGTTTTACACATTGAACAGTCGTTCAAACAAACCCAGATCATTGTATTTCTCTTGTATTTTAACCTCAAAAGTCAAAGTTCAAACTAATAAAATAGGCCTTTAGACCCACTCCTTTCCAGACACTTTAGTGGAGAATTTAGAGTTTATTTGGAATCAGTTTCAGTCTTGCTTCCATTAATGTTACACATGGTGTATGACCTAAGGTCGTATTTTATTTGTTTTGTAACTAGTTGCAAACCTAATTGGATTTAAAAACTCTATATGTCTCTGAAACCAGTGTTGTAATTTTCTGGTAAAGCAACAAAAAGGCTGTCTGGTAAGAATATCAGTTATTTATAAGTATAAAGTATAGTGTATTAGTGTATAAGTATAAAGTATAGTGTACCTATTTAATAAATGATATTAAAAATGAAACTATGTGAACAACTATTCTTTGTTTTCTCTATTCATTTCATTAATGAGAATTCTTGTTTCAAAGCAAGTGAGAATTTTCAGTTTAGGCTGACGAAAAACATTTTTGAAATTGAGTATTTGTTTTACGAATTTACTCTTGCTGTAAAAAAAAAAAAAAAGACTCCATTTTAATTTTTTTTTTTTTTTTTTCAATCATTATTGTTATGTTTTGCTCTTTCATGGAGTTCACCTTGTGGCTTTATAAACATCATGGAACATTTCGCCATTTTCATAACTAAAACTCTGCCATCTGGTATCACTAGTGTAATGTAAGGGTGATAACTCTTTACAGCATAAAGTTACTTTCATTACAGACAAAATACAAATAGTAGATTAATAGTAAGATGTTTTTACAAAATTATAATTTACCGTAATTCCCCATGTATAATACGCATTTTTTTTTTTTTCTAAAAACTAATAAGCAAAATCAGGAGTGCATATTATGCACAGCTACAAAAAATCTTTAAATAATTGTCATAAAATAAAATAAGAATTATCAGAAAACTAAAATAATATTATTCTATGTTTAAAACCATTTTTTTTTTTTTTTAAATAGTGTAGGAAAGGCTGGCCGTAATGAAATTGGAGAGGTACAATTTATAGGATTTGATTAGCAAACATGGGGTGCATCTTAAACATGAGTAGAAGCATTTTACCCACACTTTCAGTATAATTTTAGGGGTGAGTATTATGGATGAAGGCGTATTATACATGGGGAATTACAGTATACAAAATTGAATGAAAAATTAAAGAATGTATTTTTCTGTATGTTTTGAGTACTAAATCACTTATATATCTTCCTAAGTTTATATCGGGGAATTAAAATTGTGATTATTAATTTGAAAATTATATGAATAATTCTTTCTTTTATTTTTAAGTATCATGCTTTTAAATAAATAGTCTATTCAGCATTTTATCATAAACACATTTTTATATCAAAAATAAAAAAAATATAAGAATTCAATTTATAATTTTTGGGAACCATCAGTTTGACTTAATTATTTAATACTCATGATTAAATACAGACTATCTAATGTCATCGTAATAATTAAGTCAGTTTTAGGTCTTTACAGAGATAGCATTGGCCTCTTTTCATCTCCACAGCAGTCAATATTATAGTCATTGTGAACTTCATGATCCTTTTGATGGTGTCATAGAATGTGCTTCACCAGAACTACATATATTTTTAAATTCAGAGCTGTGCTGCTCTTAGACTGGTTGCCAATCATGGCTAGATAACTCAGTTTGCCCTACTATTTAACCTTGTGTGTGTATTAACTTGGTACAAGGTCATAAATTTGAGGAAACCAATAAGGATCAAATATATTAAAAAAACACTCTTTTTAGCTTGTTAACCACTATTCCATGGTAAGATGTTTTTTGCTTTTATTCATTGAGACTTATTAACATCTAGGTGGACATAAGTCAATGAAGGAAAATAATTTATTTTACAAAAGAAATATTTTTCAGCATAATCTCCTTTTTTGTCAATGAACTTGATTTAGTGGTAAATATCAATCATATAGACCAAAGATTATACAAATAAAATTTCATGTTAAAATTCACCTAATATCTGCTTGTCAGGTCATCAACTTATTGATCCAGATACAGCAGCTTAAAACTTTACTTTCTCATATATATTTACTTATGAGCTCCATCCTTTAGTTCCACCAGTTCAGACCTTTGCAACTATGTTACTTCCACAGAGTTAAATCACCCTCACTTCCCCTATATTCTAAATGTAAGGAGAAAGTTCCACTTTACTCTTTCCCAAGAACTGCTACTGTGTGGAAAAGACTCCCACGTGGATGCTTCCTTGAACATATCAAACTTAACCACTCCAATTCAAGAGGCAATAATTTTCTATCCTCCTTATCTTCATGTCCTACCACTTCCTCTTTCATTCATATTACATGCCTCATTCACCATAACCATTTTAACAGTAACTCTCTATCTTGAGTGCCTTGTGAACTTTAGTATAGAAAAAAAATGATAAGAGACTACAAGTGTTGGATGTATAATGAGGATTGGACCCATTACACTGTATTAAAAGCAAATGTAACCTCTACTCTAGAATGTGTTGCCTACTTGTGTATTGTCTTATTGGATTTTATAAGTATCTGATAATATGTGTATGTACAAGTTAAGTCTTTCCTCTTTTTTTTTTTTACATATATATATATATATATATATATATGCACACAGAATGTCCATAAAGTCCATGTTCACTTTAAAGTTATAAATTATTTAAAGTGCACACGAACTTTATGGACATACTGTATATATGTTTTACTCATCCTCTTTCATATTTTCTTCATGAGATGAGTTCATAGTTTCAAACGAGCAAAGTTCACATTTGAAATATATCTTACTGTATATGTAATTATATGCTTATCCATGTTTATGCAAACAGTTTGAAAGTAAAAACATAGCTTTTTGTTTGCCAGAGATGCTTATTGTGTTTAAATATATACATATAATGAGACGAATGTCCGTCTGATTTGTTTGTCAGTTGATCTAATAATTAGTTTTTTTGTGTGCTGACCTTTTATTTATAATATGCATGGATGGTAGTTATTGGCTGTGACAAAGAAAGATTCTTATTTCACCCCCACTCCTGTTTAATTAAACGTACACTTCATCAACCAGCCCACAGGAAGTTTTTAAATTCTTTTCTATTCTCAATCCAGTTCATATTTTCTCTTTTTTTTCTTTTTTTTTTATCATAATTTGTTTAAAACCATTTTTGTGGCCAGAAATTTTTGTGTCTTTGTTTAGCTCTCAAAAAACAATTGCATTTTTTTTCTTCCTATTAGAAATATCTAGTTTCTTTTTTTTTTTTTTGTTCTTAGTTTGAGTGTGTGTTTTTTTTTCCATTTGTTTTAGTATATACAAGTTTATATTCACTTTGTTGATGACAAGATGATCAGCTTTAAAATCTAAATTATTTGTCCATTTGAAACACTATAATTATTAGAAAATCTATTCAGTTTAAATGCAGAAAGAGTCACAAAAATAATTTCAAATGATCAGCTTATATTATTTTCCTGTTACTCAGAAGTTGTCGCCAGACAGAAAATGAATTTAGCCCTCAAGACAGACATTCATTTCAATTTCATTTAAATTTGTTTGTGTGTATTTGTCCATTAAACCAAATGATCACGATTATATGAAAACAAAAAAAAAAAGATATGTGTTAAATGACATTTTATCTTCAAGTAGTTTCATTGTTTTTGTTGTCCAGGAATTTGATGCTCAATTTCAATGCTGTATATTTTGTTTTGTTCAACTTTGTATTTTTTCATAGTTTTTATTCAATTTTTTAGCCTCTGTTTATTTATATCTTTCTGATATTATAACTCTCAAAGGCATTTATTGTCCTTTATTCTAATGTCTATTAACACCTTTTGACTGGAGTTATTTTGAAATTTTGGCAATTTTAAGGAATTTTTTTTTTTAATCTGTATCATCCTATGCAAGGTAATAAAGTCACTAAGGCACAAGAGGTTACAGGGTGTGGAAGAATTAGGAACAAAAACATTAATAATGAGTAGGAATAGAAAAGAGTAACCAAGATGACAGTAGATAGCAACTGACGTTGAATTTAAATTTTTGCTGGAAAACATTAAGCCGGAATTGAGAAGTGTGACAAAAGAAAATGTTATCTTACAATTTACTGTTTATATCTAGGCAGCTCAAGTGATAAAATCTCAACGCCAAATTCAAAAAGTCTAAATACCATAGCGAAGAGCTCATCAGAACAATTACCATGAAAGTATTTATAGAAAAGACATAAAGAGGAAACCTTACAGCGGTAGGGAAGTGACTGAAGCCAAACCACCAAATCAGAACCTGTAATAATTTAATTTCAAGTTGTCAGCTACCTGTACAAGTTAACTCTTTCTTATTAGATATGTAAGTATATATTAATATAAACGCAAAGTTGCATTTTGCATGAAACTCTGAGTTCTGTAAACAGTGAGTGATAATATGTATATTTATCAAAAATATACATATTTACTTAGTAATTAGTAGGGATAATTGCAAGGAGGATATAAATCCAAAGAGAGCTCAATGTAAGAACAGAGCAATATAATAATGAATACAGAATCCTTAAAAATCCATTCATTTTTACAACAAAAAAAAATTGTAAAATTGGTCTGAAGAGTTGAACATCTTAAGTCCACAAAATAAATTATCACATGACCAAATGAATTTTTAAGTATTCTGTAACCCTTTATATATATATATATATATATATATATATATGGTAGACATTATTATCTACTCTTGGTCATTTCCATGCAATAAAGAATATGCAAAAAACATCCATGTAACTAAGTGCAAGTATTGCTGAGATTGCAGTCATTACCAGAAGTATATCTATCTATTTCCCCCATCTCGATCTCTAAGGATAGCCAACAAGGTCTTCTGGACATTAATAAACCTGTATATTTTTGTCATAGTATCAAAATTCGATAGTCATTTTATGACAAATCAAAAAATAAACGGCTGATTTTGAAGTAACAATTTCAGGCATGCTATGTCGTTCTACAGAAGGATGCTGAGGATACTATGGACTGAACATGTGAGTAACAAAGTTTTGGAGAAAATGGAAACAAAACAGAAACATACTTGACATCAGGAAGAGAGAATTGAGATTTCTGAGGCATATATTGATGAAGGAGAGCTTGTAAAATCTGATACAGGCCAGAGGGCAAAAGAGACAGAGGAAAATAGTGAATGACATACTTAATGATCTTGAGTAAATAGATAACAGAACAAGGCTTAAGAGAAATAACAGAAAGACCAAGTTTATTTACAGCTACAAGAGACAGGAAAGTGTGGAAAGCCATAATCACCTACATCCTGAGTGGAGGGGGGGGGGGTCAGCATTTAAAGAAGAATTTTGAAGTATGTTGCTATTACATGAAAGCTGCTAAGTTTACTTGATTTGATTCAATAGCAAATACCACTCTATGACCAATTGCTATTATTAGATTCAGTTATAGACAAACACTTGCTTAACTGGACCTGATTAATTATCATCTTTTTTTATGTGTTGATTATCATAAATCCCAATAGTGATCTTTGCATCGATTTTCTTGCATAACTTTTTTGTTGTTGTTGTTATGATTCCAAATATTTATGATTGTTCTTTATTTATTTTGCAGGTCAAGACACAGTTGGAACATCCAACGAAATATCACATTCAGCAGAAGCAGAACCAACAGATCCAGTTGTTCCTGCATGAGAAACAGGCAGCTGGGACCACATGCACCACAGGCAACCCACAGTCGATGCCCAATATGGTGGCTGTGCAGGGGGGTAGCAACTCCAATGACCATACTGATGTGCTCCACACCAGCAGTGCACCACTGACTGAAGCTGACAGTCCACTCCAGCTACCCCTGACCAACCCACCTCCTGCTGAGGTCAATTTTAAAAACTTTTTTAATATATTCAAATTTTTATTAAAATATCTTCTTCAAACTGCCATATTTCCTGCCATAATAATACATACTGCCATAATAATACGTACCTGTGATTTCACACAGTAACATTGCAGAAAAAAGTTAAAATTGTAATAGTTTTTTTATATTATTTGTTATTTTTAATTATAATTTAATCTTTCATAGCCATATTTCATTCCAAGCTCAAACTGGTTGTTTAAATATTGGTCTAGTACTTTGATCCAACCATGAGGTTATAAAATGGAGGGAAATCTCTGGAGAAGTATTTTGGAGAAAAATGTATCCCTTATATGGTGCAAAGTGATAACAGATTGTCTTAAGATCTAAAGGATTCATTTGCCTGAAATTGTTTTTAATTATTGATCTGAGAAAACAGTTGAATATAGTTGAATCATTTTTTTAACAAGTTGGATGCTATGCATGATATTAAACATGAGAGTTTGATCAGACAAGTCTATTTAAGAACATGACTCATGTTCTCAGATTATGATTTTGACTCAAAATTATTTAGAAAAAATTGTAATTATATTAGTTTTTATTTTATATTTTAATGTTGACATGTGTCAAGCAAGGTTGTTTACATATAAGTACCCAAATCCAACCATAAGGCAATGGGGGGGTGATTTCTGGAGAAGTTTTTGCACCTTTAACTTTTATTAATGTTAGTAACTTTAAATCAGTCTCTCTCTCATTCATATATATATATATATATATATATATATATATATATATATATATAATAAGTTGTGGATATTTAGGATTAAAATATTCTTTAAAATAGTGATTCTTAACATGAGCCATTAGGCCCACTGATGGGTTTGGAAATTTTTTTTTTAAATGGGCTTGGATTTGGCCCAAAGAAATTGGTAGTCTTTGAAATACTTCTTTTTTTTTTATAGGCAGATTCACGCAATCATCAAATGAACACAAATGGTTGCTCTTAATATAGTGGACTGTATGCAATGCTCTATTATGCTTCTGTTAATGTGTAAATTGTGCTGTAAACTATTTAAAAATATCAACCAATTATTTAAATTTAAAAAAATTTATAACATTCGATATTAACATTTGGTATCTACTGCCAGTAATATATACAGTACATGTACACTGTAATTACTAAAAAATACATATTTTTTCCACAAAATTGTATCCTTTTTTTCCATATGTATTTTTTGAAAATTTTATTTATTCGTTATGAAAATTAAAGGATAGCCTTGTAGTTTTGGGTGGCGTCACCTTCTCTCCAGGCTACTAATATTTTTAAACCCAGTCTACCATTGATTAAGAATTTCAGGTTTGTAGAAGGCATAGCAGTATAAATTTTGACCATGCGGCCCCTTTATTAGAATTTGGAATTCCACATGTTATTATCTATTGAAAAGGAATTTGTAGATAAATAAGACGCAGAAGTAATTATTGGCAGATTCGCACAATCATTAAGTGAACATAAATGGTTGCTCTTAATATATTGGACTGCATGCAATGCCCTATTGTGCTTTTGAATTATCTGTTAATTTGTAAATTGCCAAGTAAACTATTTAAAAACAAATAAAAAATTCAATTATAATATTCTCTAATTAAATTTGGTATCTACTGCCAATAATATGTACAGTACATCTACACTATATCTACTAAGAATTACACATTTTTTTATACAAAAATTTTAATTGTACCTTTTTGTCCATGTATATTTTTTGAAAATTGTATTTATTTCTTATGAAAATTAACTGATAGCATTTTAGTTGTAGGCAAAAGTTCCCTTCCCCCACCCGCTCTCTGTCTGTTTATCATTAGGTATAGGATGCAGGTTCAAAATTTCAATGGAAAAATAATAATTTTTCAGATCCAAGGTGCTTAATTTATAGTCCTGGACTGGAGACATCATGAGTACATTGATAGCAATCAACAAGAAAAAAGATAATTAAAAAAGAAAATATATTTATATACAGACGTGTATATAATTATTTATTTGAGAAAGGTTAATTTTGTTAATATTTCATTCAGAATTATTTTCCTTTTTTAAAACATTTCTGTCGTTAAGTGAGTGAATTGATTCAATTCTGGAATGTTTACCGTTTAAATTACTGATTAAAAAACATGTGCTTGTCAAACTCTTTCTTTTAAAAATAAAAAACAAAAAACAAAAAGGTTTTGTCATTTTGTTGCTATGACGTTTTAAAATTCCTGAAAATAAGAAATATAAATGATTTTTTTTTTTTTTTTAATCCTTTAGATGGATAACATCTTCCCTGAAGGAATCAGTCTTGAATCTGTGGATGCTACAATTGACAATGACCTCAATCTTATTGAGCCAACCCTTACTCAGCTATCAACAACCGTGAGTATTAAACTTTGCTCAAACAATCTCTCTCTCTCTCTCTCTCTCTCTATATATATATATATATATATATATATATATATATATATATAATAAATAATAACACATATGGGGAATAGCCTTTTTCAGCAGATGAAGATATCAATTGTCTGTCCTATCAACACCAGGATGGACTGAGTCCATGTCAGAAAAAGAAATTTAACTGTGAAAGCTAAAGGGGGAAAAAAAGAAAAAAACTAATATGGAATTTATCCATTTCAATGTTTCAGTCAGACAAAATGCATGAGATGGGTCAGCAGATGGTGGAAGGTATTTGTTATAAAGGGAAGTTTTATAAAATTAAGCTCAAATATTAAGCTTATGACATTAATTTGGGGTTCTGCTGAAATAGGCTATTCTCCATATAAGGTGATTTGGGATTTTATAGTGTATTATTTGCTCTGTAATAATAAATTCATTGAGCTCTTTTTGTGAATCAGTTTTAATATTTTATATTACTAGGATCCACTTATATACCAATGGATTTGTTACCTTTACTATATATATATATATATATATATATATATATATATATATATATTTTATATCTTTACAGGGTAAGAGTGTGCCCAATATTGGAAATAGATTTATACATGTGGTCAGTATAGACAGAAATCAACATTGCATGGTGATTGTCAGTTTCATGGCTTGGGATGATCTTCTGACCAAAAGCTGGTTTCTTTGTTTAATCTGCCAATGTTATATATATATATATATATATATAGAGAGAGAGAGAGAGCCTGTTAATGAACTAGTGGCAACTGGTCTCAATGAAGTGTGAAACCAACATTCACTATATAGTATTGATTCATGCTCTGTATGTGTGTGTGTGTGTGTATATATATATGTATGTATATGTGTATATATTTGTACATATGTATGTACAATACATTCAACTGAAGTAACACCTTGCTGAGTTGATAATATCTGCAATACTTGAAGTCTAGAAGACAAGTTTTGAATTTTATTTACATTATTCGGACTATTGTCCTCATCTTTGTTGCCATATTTATTACAACATGCTCCGGCCATCTTCAGGTGATTGGAATGTCAAACTGAACCCTTTATTTCGCTCACTGGAGTAGACTGTTCTAGTTCCACATGCCATGTTTAATGGATGTCAGTTATCTCCTGTTAATTTCCCTCTGAATGTTCTCCACTGCCTTAACCAGGTATTGAACTCACAATCTTTGGGTCCTGTCACTGGATCTAACTAACGCCTTTATCTACTGTGCCATGTGTCCTTGAGGAACTAGAACAGTCTACCCCAGTGAGCGAAATAAAGGATTAAGTTTGACATTCCAACCACCTGAACAATGCCGAAGCGTACAAGGCCGACACGTAATAAATATGGTGACAAAGATGAGGACAATAGTCCGAATAATGTAAATAATGTACATAATACTTCATCTCAGAAATATAGACAGATACTGAACTTTTGAAATTTGTTTACTTATATTAAAAAAGGCTCAATTAAAAAAAAATGGTCAAGTCTCTAGATTACAATTTTTAGGTATTTATATTTATTAAACAATTTGATGTTGTGCTGTATAAATCAAAACTTAGTAAATAACTATTTTGGAAAGGAGTCACAACAAAGTCACACTAGTGACCAAAGTTATATAAACCACCATGCAATTTCTATAGGTAATATTTGTTCTAGAAATTAAATTTGTATCCCTCCCTGACTTTGTTTTTATAACCCAGAAAAAAAAATATAAAATTAATTCTGCTAAATCTGAAATTGTATTTTTGGTGCATATCTGGGGAAAATGGTCACAGCCTGAGCAAGAAGCGATTCCAAAAATTCTGTTTAGCCATTTTTTTCAGATTTTGGCAAGTGCATCAAGTCAGTTAACTTTTCAACAGCACATTTTATAATTCTTATTTTTTTAACTGTATCATTGGAACATTCAAGAGAGTTACTGTTAAAAAAAAAAAAAAAAATTAAGGTGGTTGATTTATAATTTAATAAATTTCTGGACCCTTTGATTGTGTATTTCATACAATTAATGCCACGTTTCAGTTCTGGTTAATTTTATTAGAAATCTAATAGCAATCGCACATATTTTAACTGAAGACTTTAAAGGAACTGATGCACAAGTTTTAGATATTCTTTATTGAGAGTAAAAAGATAAAAACAAATTTGTTGGTATTGGGATGGGGTAAGTGAATGTGAGAAGGGGAGGAGGAGGAGTAATAAGAAAAAGGCTGCCTTAGGGTAGAGATACTAGGTAGGTAGGTAAATAGTTATAAAAACAAAAAAAAAAAGAAAATTCTTAAGTCAGTTAAACAATTGGTGGTAAATTACAGCCTGTCATTGTACAAAGCTGTCATCACCAAAATCTACTACACCCCCCTCCCCCTTCCCTGTAACACAATCACATACAGACACTAATAAAGAATTCTTCCAGTGTATTTAACTGAAAAAAATAATTAAGTGACAGTTTGTTGCATGTGCAAACAAAATCCAGTAAAAACAGAAGCATGGGATGGGAAAGGTGTGTATATATATATATATATATATATATATATATATATATATATATATATATATATAAAAGAGGATGCTGAAAATGTTTGTCCAAGCCTGTTCTCAAAAACCTGACCAAACTTTGGAATTTGCTTCTTCATTGGTCCAAGAACTTTTGAACTCCTCGTGTGTGTGTATATATATATATATATATATATATATATATAAGTCTCATTCAACCCAGAGATATATATATATATATATATATATATATATCTGGGTTGAATGAGACTGATGTACTCAGCGTCAGCTGAAATAGACTATACCCATGAGGTAATTTGGGATTGCTCTGTTATAATAAATACATTGAGCTCTTTTTGTGGATCAGTTTTAATATTTTATATTATTAGGATCCACTTGGATTATATACCAACAGATTTTTTAACTGTATGTGTATATATATATATATATATATATATATATATATATATTGATGCATGTTTCATTAAATAATATAGACAAATTTTGTCTATTTTAAGTAAGTTCCTTTCATATTGTCTGATAAGCTTAATAACATTATCATTGAAAGACAAAAGGAAATCACCATATTGATACATGTTTAAATCCAATCTAAGCTTTAGGCTTACATAAGCTAATATCAAAGATGACAATTACTTTTCAATATATCAAACAATATACTGAACAATAATGATAGTCTGTTTTTGTTGCATGAAAAATTTCAAAGCAACGGCTAACTAGTGTATACAAGACGCGGGAGCAAAAATTGCATCGCAGCTTGTGATGTCACACATGACCACGCGAGAGTGAGAACGAGAAGTATTAAGTATGGGAAGCCGTTGGTATAAATTGTTCCCTAAATACACACACACACACACACACATATATATATATATATATATATATATATATATATATATATATATAATAATAATAATAAACCATCTTTATCTAATATCAGTTTTTAAAAAAAACACAGACACTAAACAGGAGTGACGACTTACCTATAAGGAAGTCTTCCACTCAGCTCCCCTATTTTTTTTTTTTTCATGACAGAGAATAAGAGGAAATAAAAAAGAATCAGAAAGAAAAAAATACAGAAAAACAAAATAAAACAGTAAAATACATCAACAGCAAATTCCCATCACACACACACACACATATATATATATATATATATATATATATATATATCGAGCATGTTTGGTTAAATAATTTAGATGTATTATGTCTATTTATTTAGTTTTAATCCTTTCAAGTCCACAAAGTAATTTCTTGGTGGCTGTAAAAAATTGATTAAGAAAAATTCCAAAATTTTCTTTCAAATAATTTTTACTTTCCCAAGTGCTTTCAATCTCATCTGAGACTATCTTCAAGGTTTGCATATTTATGGATGTGTTATGCGTTAACATATATGTTATTCTTAATTTAAATTTGTAAAATATCTGATTGGCACAGTTATATATTATACTGGCATTACAGATTTTAATTTTAAAAAATATATTTTTTAACATTTCAAATAAGTAGGATTGGTGAATGTGAAAATATTCTAAATGCAGCTGTGAGGTTGAGTCATCAGAATGTTAATTGCTGGATTTACATCTTCAACTAATGAGGGGCTTAGAATTTTCATTTGGCAATTATTAATTTGCAAAGCTTTCCTGTAACTAATTGATACCCCTTTCACAAATCCCCTTGGGAAATGTATGAAACCATCTCTTCTCCCCCTAGCTATGGGTTAAATATCCGGACAGACTGAGTTCTAGACTTGGGTGGCAACCAATCTAGGAAAAGGACAACACTAAATTGAAAACTAGCCTGAAGAGACAGGCTTTGTCAAAGTATCTTGCCTTAGACACATCCACTACTGCTACAGCTGCAGTACAATTTGTGCCCCAACCGCCATTATAGTTCACAGGACTTGCATATATATTAATTTTTCAGAAATCTTTACAGAAAACTTTACTGTTTTCATTTTCTTATAAATACAATTAAATACCAAAAATTTGAAACAAAAAGAAAGTAAAAAGAAAATAATGATGAATGTAAATATTTGTCAAAATTATTGCTACGTGCCTTGCAACTGTTTTTTGTCATCAAATTGTTTCTTGGAATGGGGTGAGTGGCCTCACACTCAACCTCTGTACTCTGAGAAAGTGTTGGTTTTCCAATCGGGTTTTCCTTCCCTTAGACAAACATGTGTTCACACATTAATGAGTTCCAGCTACCTAGGTTTGGGAATTCAGTTTTTCTTATCCTAAACTGGTGGCCAACCAAAGCTCAAGAGCCCAGTCTGCACTACTATTTAATCCATAACAGGTGGGAGAAGAGATGAATTTGTCGTTTTCAAGGTTATTTGCATGAAAATGAATAGATTTGGAATTCAGCATGCTATTTTTTTTTTAGTTTTGAGCCATTACCCATAATATCAACCACATATCCTAATAAAAAATTATTAATAAATAATAACTTTTTTTTTTTTCTTTTTTTTTTTTTCTTTTGGCAATGTTTAACCTTTGTGCTCACAAACAAAATCAGTATGTCAAAAAGATGGTTATTCCCTTGATACTGCTATTAATGTAGAAACTTTTGACTCTCTCAGCAATATTTATTGTTTTTAAAAAGTGATGATTAGAACTTTAATAAAATGCAAACATGGAAATGGATTTATACATTTTCTTTATTTTTGAGAATGACAACAAAGATGTTAAACACCATTTATTTGAGCAAACAATAAATTTGTTTTCATAGTTATCTATAAAATGCTAAATAATAAATATTATTATGTATTAAATAATATATTTAAAAAATAAATATTATATTAAATATATATACAAATAACATTTTGATAATTTTCTAATATTTTATAAGTTTTTTGAATAAAAAGATTTCTCTTCAAATTTGTATTATAAAATGTTAAATAAATCTTTATAAAAGGTAAATAATAAATATTGCATTTTACTAGGTTCACATATTTTTATAATCTTGTGAATAAACATTGCCGAGGGAGTCAAAAGTGTATACAGTAATAGTGGTGTCAAGGGAATAACTGTCCTTTTGACACACCACTGTTTTTTTTTGTTTTTGTTTTTTTTTTTGTGGGCATGAAGGTTAAACATTGCCAGTTTTTCTTTGTAAATTTTTAAAATTTACTGCTTTTTATTATTGATATTTATAGCTTTAAATTATATACATTGTTGGGTTTATATTATAGTTAATGGGTGAAAACATTTATTTTAAAGACTTTTTTTATATTGTTTATAAATTGATATCTGAAGTCAACCTGCTATTTTCCATCTTCATTACTCATTAAAAATACATTTTGCTTCTTAGTTTATTAAAATTATCTAAGGTTTTTTGTATACAGCAAAAGTTTTAACTGACTACCTTTGGAAGATAACTTCTTTTTTCTTTTCTTTTTTTTTTATTCTCTTTTTTCCCCCCAAGGAAATTGTGCATTTTTGACCTCTCTTTTGTGGTACTTCTAGCTCCATCTGGATGTATAATACACAAAAATATTTTAAATACAAACACGGACCCATTGTAACCAAGAAGTGCTTATACAGCCACTCCTCACTTAAAGATTTATTTGCTTTACAACCGCCCCCCCCTTTCAAGAATTACGACCAACTATAAAATAAAGTAAGAGAGTAAAGACATTTTAAAAAATTAAAATTTTCAACTGGTCGTTATTGTACATTGTATTTTAAAACTTTGAACATTATTGTTTTCTTTCTTCAAAGTGAATCAAAATAAATAAAGTGAAAAATAAATAAAAATTTACTTGTTTTGTATTTACAGCAAACAAACAAAATTAATGAGCCAAATATGGAGTTGATTTTCGAATTTTTTCATTAAGTTTTCTGTTCAGTACATTACTGTGTAAACATTTACAAATAAATTAGAAATGTTTCAAATGATACAGAAATGACATTGAAGCTATCTGATGTTGGTAGACACAAATCCACTACACACGTAGTATGCCGGAAATGGCAGTCTGCTACAATGACAAGGTTGTTAGAAAGGAAGCGATTCCTATGTTAGGAGTGGTTGTATCATGTAAACTCATATTGTAAGGTCTGTTCATCTATAAAAAAGAATTCTAATAAAGTTAAATTATATTTTATACTCAAAACATTTTTTGTGACAAGCTTGTACCCAAGTAGTTACATTTGAAAAAGAAATCAAATCAACTTCTTTAACCTCACTACAGTAGTTGTTTTGACTTGTTCTTTATGTTGCATTTGTAATTACATTTCAGCAGATCCATTCTACAGCCTTCTTCTTAAATTTTATCCAACCTGAAATAATATCAAAGAAGTTATAACAAGTCATTCAAATGTACTGGGTTTTATTGATTGCTATTAAATTTAACAAGCTAGCCAAATTTTACTTGAAGAAATTTTTGTATACAATGGGCTAATTAAATATTTAAGAATCTCCTTGGAGATAAGTTTAAAACAACAACAAAAATAGAGGTTGGGTGAATATTTAGTCCCTGTCATATTTCTTCTTGTCCTGTCCAAGTGAGATTTCAAAGAATGTCAATATATATATTTAAAGGAGACCTCAAACATTGTCAGCACAGGAGATGACATGGACGGAAGCTTCCTTGATTTTAACAATACATTCAACACTATGCCAAATGATGGGGTGTTTGATAAGGTAACAAATTCTTAAAGATGAATGCGCCCGTCTCCTTTGTTGTGTATGAATTCATTTTTTCCTTCTATATAAAGCTTGCATATGTATTGATATGCAGTTGTATGTGTGCATACATGTGTTGTTGCTTGCTCTCTATATATGGTTAAAATTGACAGTAAAAATGATTTTTTATATATATATATATATATATATATATATATATATATTTTCTCATCTCTGATGTTAGGTATATTATAAAAATATATAATGATAATAATATAGTTAAGAAGATTCAAGTAATTAAATTATACAAATAACAAGCAGTTAAAATAATATATTTTCACTTCAAATCTTTTGGTTGTAACATTTTTCAGCCCTCATCATTATTCTATAAGGAAAAATAGTAACATAAAATTGTGGTAAATAAATTTTAGCAACATTAGATAATAAGTTCTCTCTCGTGTGTGTGTATATATATATATATATATATATATATATATATATATATATATATATATATGTGTGTGTGCAGATATGTAGAAAAATAGGGAAAAAAACACGTTAGGTAAATAATCCGAAGTTCTTTAGTATTTTTGTTTCTATTTTTAAAAAACAGTGCTCAATATAGAAGTAAAGCTTAAATTATAAATAATTAAATTATAATATATATAAAAAGACTCAAACACTAATATTCCATGGTTATAATTTATTACATTGGAATCACAATCCAATCCATCAGACCTACAAATGAATTGGATCGTGATTACAATTCCAATGTAGTAAATTACAACCATGGAATATTAGTATTTGAGCTTTTATATTATATTCTTACTCTGTCCTGGACATTGAGTTCTACCTGGATTTTATCCTCTTGGGAATTTTATATATATATATATATATATATATATATATATATATATATATATATATATATACACACAAAAGATAAGTAGGAGGAGAGAGAAAAAAATATATAAGGAGGCAACAAATTATCTATAATAGCAGAGTCGGTGCCTGTGAAAATTTCATGGTTTTCTGGTTTTAAATTTTCTGATGAGTCATAATTCTTTGAACAAGATGCCTTGCAATTTCCACAATTATAAAATAGCCATGGAAATTCCCCTATTGCATCGTTAAATATTGGAGCTTAAAAATGTTAACAAAATATTGCAATAATATTCGTCAAGTCGTTATTTAAGTAAGAGAGTACAAATGAAAAGATTAAGAACTGATAAGATTTTCAATTTCACTGAATCAGATCTTTCCCTTCAATCTTCCCTTTATTTCATTATTTCTCTCATTCTTTCTTTATTTCTCTCACTCATTGTTTATTTCTCTCACTCATTGTTTATTTCTTTCACTCATTGTTTATTTCTTTCACTCATTCTTTATTTCTTTCACTCATTCTTTATTTCTTTCACTCATTCTTTATTTCTTTCACTCATTCTTTATTTCTTTCACTCATTCTTTCATTTTTTCTTTCTTTCTCATTCTTTCATTTTTCTCTCATTCTTTCATTTTTCTCTCATTCTTTCATTTTTCTCTCATTCTTTCATTTTTCTCTCATTCTTTCATTTTTCTCTCAATCTTTCATTTTTTCTTTCTTTCTCTCATTCTCTCATTTTTTTTTTTCTTTCTTTTCATTTTCTTTTCTCTCATTTTTTTTTTTTCTTTCTTTCTCTCATTTTTTTCTTTCTTTCTCTCATTCTCTCATTTTTTTTCTTTCTTTCTCTCATTCTCTCATTTTTTTTCTTTCTTTCTCTCATTCTCTCATTTTTTTCTTTCTTTCTCTCATTTTTTTTCTTTCTTTCTCTCATTTTTTTTCTTTCTTTCTCTCATTCTCTCATTCATTCATTTATCCTCTCTTTGATTGATTTATTCTTTCATTCTCTCTTTCTCATTCTTGCTTTCTTTCTCTCTTTCTTTCTTGCTTTCTTTCTCACTCGCTATAACTAGACAGCATTTTTCATATAAATTTTTTCTTCCATCTTTCTTTGCAATCAAAACATAATATGCCATTATTTACGTGTGATAAAAGACCTGTAAAGGAAGGAGCACATAATTATATGATCCTATATTCCTGTACTTAGGGTATGTGCATTCATAAGAAAAGCCATATAAACATTGGCAAGGAGACTCCTTTACATTGCACATGAGAATCTAGGGTCTATGTTTAGATGATGTCTTATACACACACACAGACTGACAGTAATTTATGACATCCAGAGTAAAATAAAATGTTGGTATATATGAGAGATTCAGTTTTGTGCTTTCATATGTAATGCACAATGATATTTCCTGGGTATGATGATAAACTACATCCAACAGCAAGGCCTCTAATCAGGAAGTTTTGAGGAGCATGGAACCAACTGTTCTGTTTTTCCAAGGTCCACCCTGATTTGAGGTGGTAGCACCTGTTAGGATCCCAGCTATGGGGAAAATAGTGAACCTCGTACACTATGAAAGTATAAAAATACATTTTTATAGTAAAAAATTCTAGCAATAGATTTTAATAATAAAAAAAAAAATTACCAAAGAAATTAAATTTCATCTTTAAATGACCCATAAGGAGTTGATATGCCGTTAAACAAACTAAACCTAAACCAGTCCACTGTATGGAAATGTGTGAATGTTTCTCTGCGTACATTTATATGCAAGCTTTTTATTTCCCCTCTTTATTTCTTTCTGTTTTTTTTTGTTTTGTTTTTTTTTTTTGTAGAATCTTTAAAACAATTTAACATTGTTCCCTTTTACTTTGTTAATAATCCTTTGAATGCATTTTTTGTTTTAGACTTTGAAATCTAACCAGTTTCTTCCTTTTTTTTTTCTATTGATCTAATTTATTTCACTTATCAATATTAGCATTGTCTTATTTTTTTTATTATTACATTCACCAAAATTATGGTAATCAGGATTACTGTCTTGTCATGTGTATTTCTTTAGTTTTTCCATTATGGTACTTTGTTAGTCATATAATCTTTATATAGTGATTCTAGATAATTTTATATCTGTCCGTGGTTGTCAATGTAAATAGTGTTTTCCCATCTTTTATCATTTCAGTTATACGTAGTCAATGGATGAATTTTGTGTTCAATGTTTTGTTTTTTTTTTTAATTTATAATAAATTTATAAAAATTTTGATATTTTAAAAAATTGTTTAACACTTGTATACAGTGGTATGATTTCACTTATGATTAACCTATTTTAAAATGTTATATCACATGTTAATTTGTTATTCAAAAATATGTGGATTTTACTACATTTTTTTAATTTTGTTTCTATTCTGATGCTTTTGTGATAATGAACCTCAGTTACTTTTCTCATTATTTTATTATATCTTAAATTTTTTAAATTAAATTCAGGTTTACGGTGTGTTTTTTTTTCTTTAATACTTGCACAAATAAGCTGTTTTCAAATTCTACAAAATGGTCTTTCAAATTCTTTTGCTACACAGAAATATATTTTATTCATTATCGCTACCTCAAACTTGATTTTAGCTGTAAGCTGCTTTAAGAATTGTTTCTGTCGAAGGATTAAATGCAAAACAATGTATCTTTCATAAGTATCTCAAATATAAATATATTTCTTCTCACCTTTATTAATAATTAAAATTTCCTACTCTTTTATGTTTCTAACAAGATATTTAAAAAAAAAATCTGTTGTGCCCCTAAAAATAAGATTAACAAGCATTTAAATGACTTATTCACTTTTATTTATTCCTGAGGTCTGTAGAGGAATTGAAGTTGTTTTTCATAATTATGATTCCCTTAATAAAATTAATTAATCATCAAAGAATTCTACACAAAAGCACTGAAAGTCTTCGAACAGTGTTAAAAAATTCAATTATATTTTTATGGGGAGTTCTCCACTTTTTTTTTCTTTTTTTTTTTTTTTTTAGAATAAAATAAGAATTGAAGAATTGTTTAAATCATTTTTGCAAAATGCTAATCTCTCACATTTTATTCATATATGCAAATTATAATATTGAGACTTTGGGTTCAAATCCCAGGTATAATTAATTTATTGTTTTGTTTGTGCGTCTAGCAAAGATAAACCAATTTCGATTTGTTCAAATAGCTTATTTAATTTTTTTCTCTGATTTGACTATGTTGTCTATAACTTTTTTTTAACTACACTTAAAAATACAAATAAACAGATATAAAATTGAAAAGGATTAAATAAGAGTTCCATTCAGAATTCCCTGTAGATCAAAATACACCTGACAAAGGCTGGAGGGCACAAAAGTCGAAACGTTGTGATAACAACAACAAAGATAAGGACAATAGTCTGAATATAAATAAAAATTGAGAAGACTGATAACATTCATTTATTCAAGTTTATGCTTTTCCCTCATTTGAAATTAAATTGTTTACCTATTGAAGTAAGTCGCATGAAACTTAATACTTGATAAAAGAATCACTGACTAAAAACACCTATAACATTTTCCTTTAGGCAAAAGCTCTTATTACTTTGTCGTTATATTTCCGCAAGTATCAAAGGTGCATTTAAATGCCGAATATAAAATTAAACACTTCATTCTATTCAACTCATCCCCGATTTCTTATTAAAAATTAAAAAGGGATTTTAATCTTCCGCCCCCAGCTAATGAAACTCATTTAATATTATGCATTAAAAAAAAATGAGCTTTTGCTTTGTATATTCTTAAAGCATTAATTTTATAAAGATATAAATATCATCGCATGATAAGTGATGTCAAATATCTGAACAATGTTTGTAAAGATGAAATATGTGAAAACAAGTTGGATGTTGAACCAGTGGACAATAAAAATTTTCAACATCTGAGTAGTTTTCACACATTCCATCTTCTCTTGATCGACTGATTAGTTTTTGACGGTTTATCAACACTTTGCAGGTTATTTAAAGCCAGAAAATATTTTTGAATTGTAAAATTTTTTGATTTTTTTTTTTTTTTTTTTAAATAATAATGATTTAGTGATACAAATCTTACTAATTAACCCATAGCTGGGGGAAGAAGAGGTGGATTCATACTTTTCACAAGAGTATTTGAACCTAAATGAATATTATGAACACACCTGGAATTGGAACTCAGCTCTCCCATTAAGAAATCTGAGCTATTATTCATTACACCACCTGCACATTGAAACGAGCTCAACGTTGCTTAACTTCGGTGATGATAGAGGGATCGGTGTTTTAACATGATTTGGCTGTAAGTCTGATATTACATTTTTATATTCTCACATATAGTATTATTCATTTTGGTGTGTATATATGTATATATATATATATATATATATATATATATATATATATATATATAATATATATATAAGGCTTACGGCCAAAGCACTTGAAACCAGTTCCTGTATGATCAAGCCTTATAGTCCATTTTTATATTCTCACATTATTTGTGTGCTTGTGTGTGTGTGTATATATATATATATATATATATATATATATATATATATATATATGTATATATATATGTGTGTATATATATATATATATATATATATATATAATAAACTGAAAGTCTTTACATAACAAACCTTTTCTTACATATATGCATATTTATTGTCTCTCTCTAGATTTAAAATGCACCAACCATAAGTATATGATTTATAAGTATGTATAAGTGTTTATTAGTTGCTGAGTAAAAAAATAAATAAATAAAAAAAAAGATTTGTAGATCTTTGATTGACAATAACTGTATAAACACCAATCAGTAGACCCATTGTTGTCTACTTGTATACCTACATACCTTCCCTGTCTCTTACCTACATTTAGGTGTACCTCTGTAAAATGTAGACAAAGGAGAGGTCGCTAATGTCAAGCCTGATGTCAACTCAATTGTATATTAAACCTGTAAGTGCCTCTCTACTTCAACTGTGACAACAGTATTTGGGTGGACATGGTCACCTTTGCTTGTATAACAAACTGGAGATAATCAGTAACCAGGTTTTCCATGCTTGGATTATCTTGAGCAAGTAACTCTTGGGTGCCTGCATATTAGCTGGTACTTACTGTTAGGATTGGTGTGGATCATATAATTCAGGGTAGGGGTTTGGTGGACTTAGGCTCTGAAATATGGGTCCAACCTACAGACACTTAATTGTATACTGAGATTCATGGGTCTGGAACCAATTGTTGAGGAGTGCTCTAAAAAAACGAGAGAGGGTAGAGAAAGAAAGGGTTTGTATGAATGTGGTAGGAGAGAAGGGAGAAAGTTTGAAAGATTTGTGACAAGATGGATAAAACTGAAGGAGAGAGATAATGTGTTGGAAGGTGTGTAGGAAAGATTAAAAGGAGGAAAACATTAGACAAGAGTTTTTAAAATGTGAATTGTTTTATTTATGAATATAGGAATTGCGTTTTCTAGAAAAAATTGTCTTTTTTTAGTTAAACTAAAAAGATAGTCAAAGTGGTGAATGGCTCATTCAAATAGTCACTATTCAAAAATGAAGAACAAAGTAGAAATTTTTATTAATGAGATTTAAAGATGCTTTTAATTATTAAAAGTTAATTAAAGATGAGTAAAACTATGATTAACCCATATCTTACCGTTTTTTTCATATTTTCGGATCATTTTGCTTAAAGTTTGCATTTTCTTGATTTCAGACAAAAACCTGGAAATTTTCCCACATATTTTCAATAAAATTTTCACATTTTAGAATTATACTATTATGAATGGCCTTGCCACAACCCCTTCATTAATTTGCACGACCGTTACCCCCTGCCAGTACCTCATAAGTAATGGACTATTCCATTTTAATTGCATAGAAAAGTGGGAGACACTACTCGATTTCAGTAAGAAAATGAACGAAAGAAAGAAAGGAAGATAGAAATGTTTAACGACCGTTTCAATGAAATGGAAAAATTTGTGAATTTCAAATCATTTCATTTCTACTCACTTTTTAAAATAACGATCAGAATTCATATTCGTGATTGTTCTTACGATATTTTGTTAAAGATGTTAAGCTCAAATATTTAATGATGTGATAAGGGAATTTGTGCAGATATTTTATTGTTGTATAACTCGCTATGACCTTACTCAATCATTAACTTAAGAATTAAGATTAATCAGATAATTTAAATAGGAAAACCATGAGATCTTCTCAGGTTTTTCTCGTAGTTTATAACTTTTATATATTAAATATAATGTCAGTTGTTATCTTCTGTTTTCTTAATTCTTCTCCTTTCATTGTTCTCTCTTAATAGTTTTTTTCTTCTCATATTCTCTAACATTTAATAACTTCTTGCATCTTAGTGGCTTTATTGCTTTGTTTGGGGCAAAATAATTTTTTTTAAATTTTAACAATATAGAAAAAAGGTATCAGTTTAAATTGATGCTAGGAAGATAAGGGTTAAATTGCATTTGTATATTCAAATAATTTAAAGTGATTACCAAAATAATTTGCTAATCAATTTTATTTTAATCATTTGCAGAAATGTCAATATATAAGGCAACAAATTGTTCTTACAAAATGAAATTGTACAAACCTCCTCTGGGTAGTAGGGTGTAAAAATATACAACTTTTTATGGTCAAAGCTTTATGGATATTTAAGTCAGATAACTAGATTATGTGCTTTGCTTTCATTTTGCCATGTATAATATTGACATGTCTTTTGAACTCGCCCGCTATGACTTTCTGTGGCGAAACTGTGCTACTGAATACAGTGTGATTATGCTGTAATTATGCTATTCAAAAAGTTATAAAAACAAATGATATACAATTATTTTTTTTAAATATTTCCAACTGCAAGTGATGTCTGATTTCTCTTTCTTTCATCCCCACTAAAACTTCTTCAATCCAAACTCACCTTTTTTTTTTCTTTTTTTTTTAACATGTTTTTATTCTACTTATTAAAAAACTTTATACAATTATCTAACCATTAAGCTTATTTTTGTAAAATGAAAAAAGTAATATGATGGTCACTGTGAAAGTGATACTTCTTATTTCATTATATTGGTGGAGGTGGTGGATATTGGCAGCATGGTAATAGTGGCTGGAATTTTTTGCCTTATTACGGACACCAGCTGAGCTGCATTCTGACCAAATAGTATCTTACATAAAATTACATACCAAGCAGAAACGTATCATTTAATTCTTCCAAACAGAAAATAAAATTCTATCTATTGATATTGATCAACACTTTCAGAATATTTATGAAGACCAAACAATGGATATGAGCTCACTTAGGCAGTGAATAATCTTTTTCAGCAGTCATGGCAACAACATGCATGACAAGTTGTGTCCTGGGTGGGCCTGCACTGCTGTCAATCCATAAAAGGAAGAAATCTTGTTCATGACTGCCAATAATGATGATTAAGCAGAAAAATAGTTTTACAGCTGAAAACTTGCTCAATCCAATAGTGTTATTGTGTTCCCAGTAGTTTTCATGAAAATAAATGAGAGGCATTACTTTCAGAAGATCTTGTATGACAGCTTGTGACAAAAAAATTAATAGCCAAATTTGGTTACATATTTCTCTAAAAAATGTATAAATATCATAAACAAAATTTGAACCATTTCATAAAATATAACTTAGGCATTTTGTAAACTTTGTCCTGGACAACAGAATAGCTTTTTTTCTCTTGCAAACCTTGAGGCACTTTGTTCATTCTTGTTTGTTGTGACTTTCATTTATTTTTTTCTTTCTTTTTTGATCACAGCTGCCCCAAACTGGTGTTCTTAACTTGTATGATCAGCGAACTGACAAAAACAAGACCCCAAATTCCATTCCCAATGCATTTCGAATAAAAAGCACAGAACCACCACAATTCCTCACTGAAGAAGAGGCTAAGCAGTGGGCCAAGGACCGACAAAAGAAGGATAATCATAACTTGAGTGAGTATTTCACTTGCCTACGTGCATCATACAACATTGATATAACACCTATGTATCTGTAATTTATAAGTAAATATTCTTCGATGTACCATCTTTCCTTCAGAAATTGAAAATCATGACTCTCTGCAGCTTCCTGTTCTTTGTAGCTCTATGCAATATTTTTCCTCTTATCATCCCCATTCTGTCATTCATTTACCCTTTGCCTTCAGTATGTCCCTGTGAGTGTTAAATTTTCCAAGCCCTCTTTCCTCACTATATGTCCCAGAAATTTCAACTCTCTTTCTGATTATTATATATATTGTTGCATCATACACTGTGTTATAGAAATTTAAAAGTCATTAAAGCTCAACACTAGTCCATTTATTTTTAAAACTATTACCTTTTTACTATTTTGTTTTATATACAACAAAGATGAAGCTAATAGTCAAGAATATATAATTAGAATTTTCAAAATATCTTAATGTTTTTCAGTTTGAATTTCTCGGATGAGGAGTTATAATTATTTACACTATTTATATTTGGACTCTTGTCTTCATCTTTGCTGTTATTATCACAACATTTCAGCCATTGTGCTCTCTGGACTTCCCCCAGTGTATATTGATCTGCGTAACCTATATTAAATCATTGGCTTGTGAATTTGGTGACATATTAGTTGTGAGTTCAATACAGGCAGTGTAGACTTGAACTCAATGAAAATGGCGAGCATTAACTGAATGGATTTTTTTTTTTTTTTTTTTTTTTATCCCATGACCCATCAGGGTCGTGGGGTCACCATGTGTGCTGCAGCCACAGTAAAAGTGGTGTTTCTTGAGCAAGATAGCCTGATGGAGCCCAAGCTGGTTTTGAATTCAGAGTTTTTCCATCTCCTAAACTGGTTGCCACCCAAAGTTATAAAACCCAGTCTATCCCATATTTACCCATAGCTGGGGAGAGAAGAGGATTCATACCTTTCCCAAGGGTATTAGTACAAAAGTGTATATAATTGATCCGACTGGAATTTCGAACTCAGCTCTCCGATTCCTCAATCCGAGCCACTATCCATTACTCCACCATGTCTCCCCTGAATAGTACTAGATGATAAAAACTAGACATGGGCAATGGAATAAGAACAGTCTACCCCTGTGGATTAAATAAAGAGTTCAGTTCAGAATTCCCATTAGGTTACCCAGATCAATATACACCTAAAAAAGGTTGGAGGGCACAACAACCAAAATGTTGTGATAAGAACAAAGATGAGGATAATAGTCCAAATATAAAAGTGTATAATATATATATATATGTATGTGTGTGTATGTAAAATTGTTTGGTCTGAAGAGATGGGGTCTGTCTGATCCCATGAAATAAATTATTACCATGGATTTCTAAAGTCTCTGCTTTCATCATTATTTTTTATATATATTTATTGCTTATTTATTACTGTAAACTCAAGAAATTAAGTATGAAACATTTTTGAGGATGAGTAGATTTGAGTATTACCTTCTGACCATATATGTTTATTATGCCTAAAAGGTGTAGTGGCAGGTGTAAATTTTAATTTTTTATCTGTACAGTTTTAATCTTTGTAAGGGACTTTGCCAAACAAGAAATTTCTCCTATCACTACAGTTGTGTTGTCATGTCCTGCTATGGAAACAAAACATAACTTGGACTAAAATCAACAGTGGGGCTACTGCTGTTAAAAATGAATACAGTGGAATGAGGATAATGCTCATAAATAAAGCAGGAGTCTAAAGTACATATAATGAAAATAAGCTCCTCAATTCACACATCTGTAACTCAGTTTGTAACACTTTTGTATCAAATGCAATTGCTGTCTAGAAAAGTCGGGCCAGTGGTAATTTTTCAACTTCTAAAATAAACATGCCAGTTCAAATAAACATGCTACTGGGATTTTTTTTTTTTTTTTTTTTTTTTGATTCCTAGGACAAAATAATCATGCTGCCCAAAAAAATTATTTGAAAAATAATAAATGTACAATACGAAATAGACACCATCTCTTCAGTTGAAGGTAGTCTTACAGCCACATCTCATTGAAACACTAGTACCCATACGATCACCAAAGTTAAGCAACATCAAGCCTGGTCAGTATCTAGATGAGTGACCACTTGAGAATACCAAGTACTGTAAGTTTGGATATGCAGATGATGTAATGGATAATGGCTTGGAATTGTTAATCAGAAAGTTGAGTTCCAATTCATGTTGAGTTTGTTATATTTATTTATGCACAAATACCCTTGGGAAAGGTAGAAATCCACCTCTTCTCCCAACAGCTATGGATTAATTATTAAGTCTTGTATCACTAAACCATTATTATCTGTCCCCACCAAATTCTTAAACTCTAAAAATATTTCCAGACTTTAAATAACCTGCAAAGAGTTCATAAGCCGTAAAAAAAATGAATGAATCAATCATTTAGTTCAAGTAAATTACTTAACCCATAATAGTAGGTTGAGAGATATATATATATATATATATATATATATATATATATATAGAGAGAGAGAGAGAGGGTGGTAGGTTAGGTTGGTACCTCTCTTTTTCAAATAAGTATTTATTAATTTCTTTAGTGAAAAAGAAAACCTTTATTTCTTGCTCGGTAGGTTGATAAGTACTCATTTGAACCAAATACGAATAGTGTCTGGAATAGTCATGCCAGGGGGACTCTACAGTCACTCTCTCACAGACGTGTCGTCACCGCCCTCTGTCTTTTCTACAAATACTTTCACGGTAACTGCTTTGACGAGCTACTTTCACTACTTCCCAGACTGCAGGAATTTAAGCGTGTTACTAGGCTGGCATCTCAGTCCCACCGTTTCACTGTCGAAACGGTTAAATGTAGCCGTCTTTTCTACTCCAATAGCTTCGTGTCCCGCGGCTCCCATCTGTGGAATTCCCTTCCTAGTACTTGTTTCCCTGATAGCTATAAGCTCCAACTATTCAAATGTAATGTCAATTGACATCTCGAGATGCCCTGGCCTATTTCCTGTCCTTCTCTTCATCCTTCCCTCTATCACGCCTCTTTACTCTCGCTCACACTCTCTCTAACCCCTTACATGCTAGTGGCATCCCGCTTTGCTTGGGGTGAAATGCTTTCCCTGAGACATTTTGATTCCTGGAACAAAATAATTGTGCCATGGTAAAAATTTGAAAACTGGACCTACTGTGCCAAATAAGCAATGCACTGAGTAAGGGGAGGTATTGAAGGTGATAATTTAATTATTGCTGCATGCTATATTTGGTGAACAAGAGTTGGGCATTGGACACTTTTTCTTAGAACATCTTCCTAAATTCATATACATGTATTGATGGATACACAGGCATATAATCAACAAGTGTATTTCTTTTTCATTTATTTCATATTTAATAGAATTTAAATAGAAGCACAGATGTTTTTTTTTTAATTTTTTTGTTTTTTTAAGAAATGTAAAACTGGAACTTATAAAAGAAAACATATCAGCAAAATAAATAATGAAATTTGGAATGTTAAGATTAATTTTGTCAAATACATAATTTTTGTTTCTTTCAGTTGAACGTCGTCGAAGGTTTAACATAAATGACAGAATCAAAGAACTGGGAACTCTGCTTCCACGTTGCAATGACCCGTAAGTAGTTTTTCTCTTAGTGGATTAAAACATTGATTCATGTGTTTGGTATCAGCATCATAATTGTGAGTTCAAACCCTGGGTCATGTAGTACCCAGGCTCAGTGGAAACGGGACTAGCAATAATTGAGCAGTACTAAACAAAACAAGATTCCTTAGAGAACAATCTACTCCTGTATCCTGTAGATTAAATAAAAGGTTCCATTCAAAATTTCCTGAAAGTTACCCAGATTGACTGAAGAAAGGTGGGGGCAAAATAGCTGAAACATGTTAACAACAAACATGTGGACATTTGAAGTAAATTGTAAATATTTTAAGAATATCCAAAATGAATCCTTTCTTGCTAAAATATCATCATAACCAAATATGCACAGATATATACATACACAGTTAAATAGCTAGTGTAGGCTGAGACCCAAATGCTTTCTAACTTCCAGCCAAGTGGCACTTGATCCCAGAAGTTTTCACTTTACAGACTTGAACTCGATGGAAACAGGAAGAGCAACAATTGAGCAGGACTGAAAAATAACAAAACTGGATATCCATGGACCTGGACAGCAGTGTGAGAACAATCTACCTGTGTAAATTAAATAAACGATTCAGTTTCAAATTCCCAGAAGAAGGCTGCATTTTACAACAACCAAAACGTTATAACAACAACAAATATAAGGATAACAATCCAAATGGAAATATTGATAATTTCTCATTCTTTATTATATTGTACCAATCTTCCATGTAGGGAAATCTTGTCTTTGAAATTATGTCTCCCATGAATTGGCCCATTTAATGTATTTCTTAAAAAAATTGAAGTCTGGAATCTATCATTAAACAGTTTTTTGAGAGGATGCCATAAAGGTCACAAACTGAGCAAGAGACATTACCATAAATAATCTGAGGTTAGATCAAATTTTTGAATGTAATCCTGGCCAAGAACTTTTTAGCACTCTTCATATGTGACTTTTTTTTTTCTTTATTAAAAATAAGACTTAAAAGTTAATAAAGGCATATACTTTTTAAATCAACAATCTCAGTGGTTCACCACCAAATTTGAAGAACTATTATGTCTGGTTTTACATGTTGGTACCTCATTGAAATGTTCTCATAATTTGTGTAACCAGCAGAATCTGAGTTTAGAATTTTTGTTGTAATTCTTGCAGAGATACCAGACAAAACAAAGGTTCCATCCTGAAGAATTCTGTTGACTATATTCGCAAACTTAAGAAGGACCAGGATAAAATGCACAATCTTGAAGACAAGAACAGACTGTCTGAAACAACCAACAGAAAGCTTCTTCTGAGAGTGCAGGTAGGTGATTACCATTGTTTCCACAATTTCTTTAAACAAAATATTCCAAATAAATGAAACATTGCAAATAACTGTTTTCTTGCCATTTTATATTTGTATATTTAAACAATTAATGGATTTTTTTTTTTTTTTTAATATAAATTAAAATTTTTTATCTAACAAAATCTATTAACTGCTTAAAGATTTTTTTTGGTGGGTCTAGGGTCAAAAATACAAACTAGCAGACTCCCAGTGTGAGATGTGCATTTCTTAAAAAGTGTAATTGACCCCTTGTTTTGCTGTGAGGACATCTGTAGTTAAATATTAAACATACCTGGCTAAAAAATGGTTTCCCAAAAAAGGGAATTATGGTTTGATCCATGCCAAGGGGTTCATCTTCTTTAATAAGACTTTCTATCATCTAGGCTGGTGGAAGTTAATTTCATCATTTATAAAGTAAACAAATTCTGGCCAAATTTGATCTTCAAAAATTTAAATGCAATGTCAATCGTTATCTACTGTCTTTCTGATTACTCTTCTATTGTTTTCCCTCTTTCATAATGTTTTATATTTTCTAATTCTTTCACCTCCTTGTGTCTTAGTGACTTTACTGCCTTGTGTAAACTTGAAAAAAAAAAAGAATATCTCCTCTTGTATACCCACTAAAATAATGTTTACAGAAATAAGAAACATATAGAGGATTAATACAAATAAAATGGCGCTCAGAAGTTTAGGAAAATGACGTGTTTTGTCGAAGCTTCAAAAAATTAACAGATTTTAAGTTTATGTAAAAAAATGTAAATATTGCTTAAAACTAAAATTTATAATTTGCAATTATTTTTATTTTATTTTATTCCCTTTATTAGTATTTCTTTCAATCTTTTCCACACTTACCGAGTTTTTCTGTATTAAAATTTATTTGTTTATGTACAACTAACCTGAAGATCTTTTGTCTTATTTTTATTTTCTGGTTTTTCTTACCTAAATTTATATTTATCAACTTTGTATTTTCTACTCTCATTCATTTCTTATCAATTGATAATTTACGTGTTAGTTCTGACAAAAAAGTCAGTATGAATGATTTTATTTTTGTTAAATAATGACTTCATAATCTCTGAGTGTTTTAGGCTTAAATCCTGATTTTATATTTTTAGTTTTTGTTTCTGCTGCCTTTTTCTAAAATTAATAAACTTTTCGATATTTGTGTTTATTTATGTACGTCTATTTCATAATTTGCTTTACTTTCTAGTGTTGTTGTTTAACTAACGTTTTATTATATTTTTACAAACAAACATTAATTTTTTGAGAGCTTCTAAAAAACGAAAATGTATATAATGTTTATATGCGTACATGATTTATGTTCCAAAGGTTGTCATAGCCAGGGGTGATGGTGGGGACAAGATCCCACAGTCTATAAAATGCTTCCTTGACATGCATCTCAAGAAGCGACTGATAACTAAATTCAGCTCCATGCTGGAGAATGGACGAAGGCGGAAAACTAATTCCTCATAACCAGCTGCTTTGGGTAGATCGAGCTTGACAGCCCAGTACAGCAGTCCATCTAGGGGAGGAAAACTCTGATTTTAAGTCTCCACTACTTTGCGGTCATATCCAAACATGGAAAAGGCTATGGAAGTAAATCCAGACAGAAAACCTGGTGTAGATCCCCGTGACAATTTTCCAGCGATGCCTGCCGCCAAGCCATCCCCAAATGTAATTCCCTGTATTCCTTCAGATCTTGTTGGTATGGCTGAGGGTGGAGGTGTGCATGCAATCTGGGCAGCACATGGTCTCCGTATAACATCACCTAGGGCTGTTCCCTGGAGAGGTCATCCCAGTCTCACCATCAGAGGACTGAATTTTGACCAAACAGGGCGCTACCTTTATCTCACAAGATAAACAGAAAACTACAAATAAAATTTGTCACTTAGCTGATTAATGTTATATTCAGCACCCTGACTACAGAGTTTTGTAAACATTTTTGTAATTGTTCACAGTCCACTTGTCATACAAACACACACACATTTATATATTGGATTAATAAAAATATAAGATGTAACCTTTAGCTGATTGATGTCATATTCAACGCCTGGTTCCAGAGTTTTTTAGCCAAACCTCCTTTTTGTAATCTTTCAGCCCACTCATCAGGAGGGTAGCTATATATATATATATATATATATATATATATATTTGCATTTCACAACTCCCATTGATAGTGGAAATAATCAATTTTTTTCATGCTTCTATGGCAGTTTTCATGCGGCCATTTTCTACTGGCCAGAGTGAGAGCCTATAGCTGGCTGACACGAATGTTAACTAGCATGCAAAAAAAAATCGATAGCTGCATTTGTCACAAGTGGGAAAAATTTAAATCTGCATGGCACTTTACTCCAAGTGGCTCATTCACTTGCTTAAACTCAACGTTGATTCTGATTCCGCAGAACTGGGTTGGGTGTGAAAAAGTATTTGTTGTTAACATTCTTTTTTCATTCGGTTTTTCCAGTTACGAGTCCTTTTTTAAAGCTGATCGTTTTGTGTTTATTTTGTTTAGTTCTTTTTTCGTAACAGATTTAATGTTTAGTATAGAGCTTAGAAAAAATTCGCAGTGTGAGATAGGCAAGAAGTAAGGCATGTAGCAACATCAGCACAGCAAAGGGCACTCCTTTAAAGGCAAGGAAGGGCAAAAATATTTTAAGTCAAGTGATAGCGATTGCTGTATGAATCGTATGATTTTTGAATCAAGCACGGGCAACACTGCTATATATATATATATATATATATATATATATATATATATATATATAGTTTAAAGTATGCTATATTTATGGGTAAAAGTGATCAATATCAGAGATAATGTATGTAAATCTAAAAACGGACACTAAGGTCAACGAGTGGTGGCAGTGTGTTTCATTCTTCCATGCAATCTTCAAGGACTGAAAATCTTTGTTCGTCTTTCATATTTAATTTTCTTTTCTTTTTTTTCCTTTTTAGCATTTGGAGATGTTATGCAAAACACATGGCATTTCAACTGGCCTTCCCGATGATTCTAGTTCTCTGGCCATCTTCACAGAAGACATGACCCCTTCTACTGTTAAACCTGAGCAGGACCTTCTTCTTGACCACAGCCAGCATGGTTTTTCATCAGTCAGCAGCAGTGCTATGGATGATGACAGTTCTCCGGTTAGTGGAGATCCAATGATGTCCTCTAATCCAGTGAGTCCATCCATGGATGAAGATGACGATGAACTCATATAAAGGAAAACAAAGAAACCAAACAAAAACAAAAAAACATTTAAAATTGTTTTCATTTGAATGAGAAAAAAAAATATGGTAAAAAAAAAAAAAAAAAAAAAAATTGTGTGTGCATATGTATGTTTGTGAGCATGTATGGTTTTTGTACGTCTAGAAAACAAGAAACACGAGTCCAAGATTTGATGGAGACACTTTGAGAAATGTTTAAGTGGTGAAATGAAATAAAATGAAAAACGGTTCTGAACCAATTCCAGAACGATTGGTTTTAACAACTGCACAAATCAGTTGACAAAAGATATTTGCACTCAATTTATCTGATTCCCCTCCCCATCCCTTTAACCCTTCTTCTTTTCACCCCATATCACAAAAAAATAAAAATTTTAGAAACAACAAAAAAGAAAAAAAAAACAAAAGGTCTATCTCCCTCTTGGACTTTGTCCCTCTTCCCACAACCAATTTTGCTGACACAACTTTCAATTTGTCTACCTTGTGACATCATATTACTTTTTTTCCCTGCCTGTGGGTGACACAGAGAACTGATTGGGCACAGTATTTTCATTTTTGGCATTGAGAGCATTTTTTTTTTTTTTTTTTTTTTCAATGTCTTTAAATTTGGAAAAAAAAAAAAAAAAAAAAAAAAAAAGGAAACACAGACAATACGGAATGGTTCTAGAACAGGAATTATGGGTAAAAGATAGAATTACAGTGAGCTTCAAAAAAACTAAATAAAAATATTATGGAATTCTGTCCAAAGATATTTTCAGCTAGACATAAGATTGATGGATAAAACCTGTATAATGACAGTTTACCTTGGACAAGAGGGATTCAAATTAGTTTTGGGAGGGTTACTATCAGAAATAGTAACCCTCTCGGATAAGGAAGTCAGTTTTTGGCACAAGTGATCCAGCTACAGGCCATTAATAAAAAAAACACTCTAATTTCAATATGTCTTGAACAAGGCTAATCCACTTCATATACGGGTTGTCCAGCTTGGACACGGGTAGTCCGTCTCGGACATAAGTATTCTGCAGAAGACAGATCAGAATTGAGTCATGTTAAATAGAGGTAGTCTATTGCAAAAATGAGTGTTTCACCTTGAACATTGGTTGTCACCTTTTTGTTCACCTTAGAGATTGATGCTCTGAAATGCGGGCGATCTACCTTAACATCCTTGAATAGAAGTCAACTGTCTTGTATAAGAACAGACATTGGATGGAGGTGATCTTCTTTGGAATAAAGGTGCATAATTTCAAATGTCAATGATTCACATCAGTGAAGAGATGGTCTGTTTAGGCAGCAGGCTAAAGTCTTGAAGATTTGATTATATCTTGAAAAAGTTTGAGAGAGGAACTTGTACGGATGTTTAAGACTTTTTTTCTACTTCTTCTTTCTTCTTTTTTTTTTTTCTTCCATTTCTCTCTCTCTCTCTCTCTCTCTCTTTAAGTCTCACCTTTTTCTCACTGTCTCTCTTTCCACTCCCTCTATTTTCTCTTGCCTCAACTATCCTTCCCCAACATCTGGACACCATAGAGTGATGAAGTTTAAAAAAAAAAAAAAATGTCAGGCTTATAAAATGAACAACAATGCAAAACCATTTTTTCAAGATACGAAAAGAAGAACCAGAAGAAACGTGAAATGTGTGGAATTTTAAGTTAAGAAAAAAGACAAAAAAAAAACAAAAAACAAAAGAAAAAGCAGAACATGACTACAGGGAGAGCAACTTTAAACAACCACCACCACCACGATCCAGGAGTGGGGATTAAATTGAACACTGTTTGGAATATGTTATCTCTTTCTTCACCCAAACGTTATTTAAAACTTATTTTTGTATATAATTTTTTTTCCCCCCAACATAATTTGTTTGTACTTTTTATGTTTTTTTTTTTTTTTTTTTTTTTTTTTTTGAACAGGTGTCACAATAGAATGTTGACAGGTGATCAGACATGATCGTTAGTATATTAATCAGGTATTCAACTTCAACATTTTTTAATACTTATTTTCACAAATAATTGTCCTCTTAATTTTTCCCAGAGCTGTATACTGAATTTTATATATATTTTTTTTTTTTTTAAATATCTAAAAGAAGAATTTAGGATAAATAGAATTAACAAGATAAGTAACAAAAACTATTTATTTTATTGGCCATAAAGCATTTCAATAATTACTGCACCTTGATATTTGATTAGTTTTTATTTCATATTTGCAAGTATTGACAGTTTTAATGGCTTTGAAGTTTTTAATGGCTTTCTCCTTAAGAATCTCTTACCTTTAATTTCTCTCTCTCTCTCTCTGAAATATTTAAATTTCAAATTTTTATCAATTTTCTTTTCCTACCATCCTCTTGTTAGCTTTGTCTTTTTTTATCTTTGTAACTTTCTGTAAAGAATAGATTCCACATAAATCTTAAACTGCTTCTTTTTAAAGAAAATTGCATGATGACTCAGCTTCTGATGAAATAGAAGTCATACAAATTTAGCTTTTGTAACCACCTCAAAATAACTGCTCCAAGATTTTTAACCCTTTCATAATGTTAATTGAAACACTTTAATGTTTCTTCAAGTTTGGGACTCTGTTCATCTGGCTCAGCACAAAACAGCAAGTCATGATTAGCAAAAGCTTAGCCTGGTTTATTGAGCCAATGTAAATTCTTTGTTGGAAACAGTTAGATCGAATATTTTCTCTAGAAGTAGTAGTGGACATATTTTACAACGGTTCAAGTAAACATAGATGCCCACAACATGTCATTTTACTAATAAAGAAAGCATAAATTATTATAAAAATCCATAATGACTGAAAGAAAATTTAATGTTTCTATTTCTTGCAATATCAATCTTTACAAAGTCCTCCATATATTTCTAAATTCAGTTTTAAAAGTGGTTACATTTTATGGCTTCAGGCATAAGGTTTTCATCATGGGAGATTTTTAGTTTTTAAAGAAATTCCAAAAGGAAGAAATTGAAAAGCAAAACTGAACTGAATTGTATTGTAACCAGAAATTTTGGATTGATATTATCTATCAATCTTTTAATTGGCAAATATCTATTGATATAAATTTCAACATTTAATTTTATTTACAATATATATTGTTTCTTCTATAGCACCAGAACTATGATGAAAATTTTTCTTATATATTTGGGATAAGAGTTCTTTTCACTGTTTTTAAAACTGACAAACTTCAATTTCTCAAATAATTACTCATTAACATTTTTTATATATATTCTCATGTTTTTAGTAAATAGAGATTAAATAACATTGCTGGAAATCAAATATCATTTACAACAGTTTGAGGTGGGGGGGACAAAAGTGGGACAAGGCATGTATTTCAAAAAAGGAACATTACATAATATTGTTCAATGTTAAACAAATAGGATACCAAAAATGTTACTAAATGTCACTTATTAATAAAATTCTGAATGAGTAGAACATTGCTTAACTTTAAATCCTTTGGAAGAAGTTAACGTTAAGTATATGTTTGATATTTTTTTAAAGTGTTACTGATAGTGACTATATTTTAATGTTTAACCTATGTAGATACAGGGAAGGCTACTTAGATTATAATATGAAATTTGGAATTCAAGTTGCCACAGTCATAATATTGGCTTTACTTACATTTTCTTTGGGGGAATTAAATGTTCTTTTCTCTTTAAACAAAGAAAGACATTGAGAATGGAAATTAAAATGTAGAAACAAAATAAGCAACAAATCAAATCTTTCGAATTTTTTTTTTTTTTATCTAAATGTGAAGACTTCCAGGTCTTGTTCAGATTATTGAACTCTTTCGTTGTGTTGCTTATATTGTTATCACACCATTTTGGCCAGTGTGTTCTGCAGCCTTTTTCAAGTGACAAAGAAAAAGGCTTCTTTTTTTTTTTTTTTTTTTTAAATCAGAACCGGATGGCAAAAATAGCAATTTTTGGCTAATATACTGTCTGCAATATGGTGTTATTATAAAAAGGAAGCGTAGGACTTGTAACTGATTATATCTCAAATAAACACACCATTTCCATATATGGAATAAGCAGAATCCTTATAAATTTTAGCGGCTAAATATTTACAGAAAGGCATTCATTTTATAAAAATCTATACATAAATCCAGCAAATACGTTTAAAAAACTTTCAACATTTTGATTCTTTAATGACTGCATAGTTTTTATTTCTGTTCTATAACATTAGTAGACGTCCACGCCACTCGCTATTAACGAAATGGCTAGGCAAGCTAATCTTGTAAGCTATCAGGAATTAGTTTCTTTATCTGATGCACTGTGCGTTTAACTTTATATTAAAATTGTTTTTGTAAACCAAATATTTAATATAAGGCCAATATAGGTAATGAACCCTGCTTAACAATAAAACAGAATTCTGTGCTCCTAAAATAGCTCCTCTCAATCGCAGTCAAGACCATTGAGTACTCAAACTCACATTGTAGTTAATTCCAAACACATTTTCCATGTCTGTATAGTATGTGCTTTGCGCAGGCAAATCCTGGTTTTGAATGCAAAGTTGTTCTCCTAGACTGGTTGCTAACCATGACTAGAGTGTTTATTCTGCCCTGCTATTAAACCCATAGCTGGTAAGGGGAGAAGAGCTGGATTCATGCTTTTCCCAAGGCTATTAGTACAAAAGGGAATATAACAAACTCTTCTTGATACTTTCTCATTCTGACCTGCTAACTATAATACCACCTGCACACGGATAAATAAGCTATATAACAATAGAGAAGAGAGAGTTTGACTATGTGATTAAAAATGAAAGGACGTTGATCTGTGTAAAGATCTAGCCTTATTACAAAAGAGGAAATATTTTTGCCTTTATATTTCATATACAAAGTCATGCTTGGAATTTTGTTTATACAGTCCAGTTATAAGCTGGGGGCAACAAAAAAAACATTCTCTATTTCATATTATTGTAAACATGGGCTATAAATATAAAAGACAATATGCTGTATCTATTGCTTCTACTTTTAAACAAGAGATTCATTTGTTATTTTTACATTTCTGATGACTTTTTTCTCCAGAGAATCAAGAGTCCATAATAATTAACCTATTGTCCATTAAAAGCTGAAACTAAATCAGCTGATACTTTTTTCTTTTTTTTTCTTTTTTTTTTCAATTTTTGAGTGAGGACACGCACCAACTGACACACCTACATACACTTTAACGGACATTCCTTTTGGATTAATACGCAAAGAGACTGACAAAATGACAAACTTTCCAGATCCGAAGTTAATATACATACATATACATATATATATAAAATGTGATTATTTTCACAAAAGTTCTTTCTTTTACAAAATATATTGACTTGAGAATAAATGTTGAGTAGGACTTTTGAACCCTTGGCTAATTACAGGGTTGCAAGCTTATCTCATTGACCATTACTAAAATGACTTTGGCACCCCCACTAAGATTAGTTAAATATCTCTCCTAGTCTTAACAGTGAATTTGTAATTTCTTTCAAATACATTCTCTCTCACACACACACTTCTAATTACTTTTATGCAAGCTAAAATTGCATGCTTTGGTAATAAATTTGTTAAACCTCCTCAGCTAAGGGGAATTATAGAAATTAATTTGCCTCCTCGGACAGGGGTGGGGGGGGTTATAGAAATGGATTTCTTAGGCCTCCTCAGACAGTGGATTATAGATATAAATTGTCAAGGTTTTTGAGAACTGTGCACATAAGATTGTAAAAAAGTAATTTAATGCAATTCACTCTGTTCATTAACAGCCAATGAAAATTATGGATTACACTAGCGCTTAAAAAAAAAATGACTTTGTGTTATTTATTTCTTTGTTACACATCTGTTATCCTAGAGGTTATAATATTCTAACCATCACGAAGCGAAATAATTTTACCTTTCATTTCCATCACAGCATTGATATTTCTAACCCTAACCCTGCCTTCATACCAGTGCACCAGTAACGTTTTATTCATGATATCCCAACATTCCAATCCAGCAAAAGAAATCCTCCTATATTTCCAGATTGCACAGTTTAGACACAAGAGAAAATAGCTTTTTACTCAACTTCATTCCACCCATGTTTATTAAATGCAAGGAACATTCTATTGAATACTAACCTATAAGGTTGTTGAATTTTCTGTCAACACAAAAAGCCAAGCATTTACTTGTACATTGTGAAGCAGACTATTCTCTTACCATTTCATATTATTCTTCATATGGATTTTTATCTACATTCCTTCACACTTCAGTGATTTTTGTTTCCTTTTATACATTGGTTTTACATTGCTCAATATCTGTTCACTAAAATTAATCCATAGCATTAAAAGTAACCAATTAAGAGATTTTTTTTTAGAAAGCCATAACTTGTCAATGTTCGGCACATTGTTTCCCTAAAGACGAGTCCACTTTACGTTGTTTTGTTTTCTCTTACTTGAGCCCCATTAATTAAATGACTCAGTTTATTATTGATATCTCACCTTTATCAACATATTTCACAATAGTTTTGCCACTAATGACTTCTTCATTAAAGTTGAACTTAACACTTCATTCTTACAATGTACTTACATTCCATTT